CTACGGCTCCCAAAACTTCACCCCCTACGGATACTGTACGGACCGATGAGAGGTCTCCTACGTACGGCTTACGTACGTCGTATCACCGTACAGTACCTCACCGTACTACTGTACGATGGGAACGCTGCAAGCATCCATCATTATCACACCGTACACCGCGCAGGTTGAGGTACTCCGGCGGGAGCGCGAGGGCGCTGTTGCACAAGCCCTGTCACGACGACAGCCAGTGTTGGCCCAACGCCTTGCCGACATCGATATCGTGACTATCGACTCGTTCATGGGCAAGGACAGGAACTCGGTTAGTGTCGACATGACTTCGCTGGCGTCATATCACTGTCGAGGATGGCTCATGCCGGAGTATATATGGCTGGTGCTCTTGGTCATCTCTGGAAATTACCCCGTACCGTCGTTGCTACAACTCGCGCAAAGGTGTCCATGCAGTGCTTTGGACCACTCGATGAGTTTAATAACCCGACAAACATCATCACGAGCAATCACCCGTTGCAAGAGATGTTCATCCAACTCCACAATCGAGGCCATGTCTACCGGCTCACTTCCATCGAGCGCAAGTCATTCGAGCAGTACGAACCAGTGCTAGAAGCTCTTGGTCTGATCACGACTAGATAAGAGCACCGGACCTTTCGGTAGAGTGGTGACAAGGGATATTGTCGGTTGCAGGTATCGTAAGCCAAACGCCGAGGTATATAGCGGGTGTTTCCCATCTTAGTTAGCTCATTAGACCTAATACATACATTGAAACCCTCATCCGACAGAATGATAGTTGCTGCAAGTTCAAGCCGTCTCGTCTTATCAAATACTTCTGCACCTCGGTAGAGTGATCCCACTAGAGCGGAGCTGTCTCGCATAGCTAACAGTCTAGCTCTTCCCGCCGAACTGACCATGACCTATTCAACATTGGGGTCGTCCCTTAGTGCCACCGATGTGGCCGATGCTAGCTAACGTTTCAACACATGTAGACAGGTGTGGGACTATTTCTGGCACCGCATACAAGAGGAAGATAACACAAGTTCAGAGACATTATGACTTACCTTGAAGCCTACATGAATTTTCGAGACGAGACCTTATATATACTGAAAGTATTGTAAACTTCTAGACTCTCGTGCAAATTGACGCGCTCTTGCCACGTATCTTGTGTCGAGTGCTTTTTCGTATACCGCTTTATGAGCTTTCCATTTGCGGATGCGCCATTGTGGCTACGTTCTTCACTAATATCTAATAGTCTCATATGTTGATCGCGTACGATGTTAAGGAGATCTTCAGCAGTACCATAACGTAGATCATGCGATCGAATGAACATGTTATAATCGAATATGGTCGTTATTAGTTTGAAGATCATACTCGCAGAAGACGTTTTAATCGGCTTGTCCCTGGACACGGTATGAGCAACGGTGAAGTGGGATATCACGGGCAGGTCTGGATTGACCCATCCAATTCGCTGCAGTGGATGAGTGACAGAATGGGCGAGGGAATCTTCGATCGTGTTGCCGCCTTTGACGTTGCTATGGCGGAGAGTATTGATAAGGATGAGCATCGCGGGGCATAGGATGTTGTCGTCATCGCCAAGTATGGCATGCCGGTTTAGTATATATGCCATGGCTGGGTCAATACCGGAGGTTGAGTCAGTACAAACCTAAGGCGCTCTTGTCCGCGATCTGAATGCTAGCTGGCGAGAAACGACAATCTGATGATAGAAACAGGTACACAGACACTATGCCTTACCTTGAAGCGTACATTGATTTCTAATACAAAACCTTGTATAGATCAAAAGCATTGTAAGCTTCAAAATCATTTAGATCTATACTACAAATCTTAACATACATTATTGCAGTAAGGAAAAGTAGAATATAGTTAAGAACTATGCCCTACCTTAAGGCCCACATTATATCTGAATGAAGACTCTGTAGAGATCAAAAGCGTTGTATGATTTTGGATTCTCTATGTCTATACTATAACTCTAAGATTACATCGTTGTAGTAGGCTGGGTTAGGAGAGAGTACACTAAATGAAGCATCGCTGTTGAAGCTGCCAACGAAGGTTCTGATCACTATCAGACGCTACACTCTCGGCGGCACATATGTATTCAAAGACAAACTGCATCTGAAAGGACTTCTTGGTGCTGACCAGACTCTGAGTTGGTTTCTGATCTGCAGGAGGACACTGGAGACACATGCAGACGTTATTACATCCTATACACATTTTCGTTCTAAAGTTTCTAACATCGGAAGGGCAGACAGATTACTGAAGGGACAGGGACTGTCTGTCGAAGTTCTGGGGAGATTTCCGAGACATGTAACTCTATCTGGATGCTAAAAAGGGAGGACTGTCGACTGACCAGGCGAGTCGTGATAGTTGCCATAGAGTCATTCAAGACCTCCCGAGCCTGCAGGAAATACAGATATAAGACGACGATACTTGGTTCGACAAAGACAAGGAAGATATGACATTGAAGACTGTCACAGACGCATTCGGTTCATCTCTGGAACGCGATGGCGTACCGAGGTCAACTGTTGAGATCAAAGTCAAGTCCTGGAACTACAGAGACGTGAGATGGTAAGCTGACTTCTTGCGCGCGAAGTCTACACTGCATCTGCTAATACATATTTATTCAGGATCCACTCCCGTGCCAAAAGACTTGAGGACCTTTTGGTAGCGAATTAGCAGCAGAGTCAAAATGGTGGCCGAAGTACTTACCAGTGCTGTGAAAGCGGGTTATTCTCATATGGGCTGGGGTAGAGAGGTGAACGGAAGGGCTCGGACCTTAAAAGCATTGGCAATTAGTCGAACTGTGATGAAACGTTACTCTGAGCTATCTGAGTAGGCTTTGCTGGTCGCTGTAGCTAGTCGTTCAGTCACATGATGGATTCTGGTATCGCTTTCAAGACACAATGACACTCCGGCACGCACATTGCGCATACCAGGCATCCAATCATTCTTCTATATCCAGTATCTTCGCGATCCATCAGATGCAATAGGAACCTATCTAAACGATGTTTCATAGGACACCAGCGTCGGCTAGCAGAGGTCGCGTATACATTAATCTCTGAGTGTGCTGCAGCATGGCTGCAAGGCTGTGGTCTGCAGTCCAGTCAGTTGCGTGGGGCGCTGAAGGCTGGAAGGTGCTATGGGGGCCTAATGTTGGCCTAATATTGACACGATTGAACACCCAATGAGCATATGAAGTAAGTCGCACAAGGTACTTGGCTAAGGGATGCGGGGTTATCACCTGGGTAGTTCCAGCTGAGAAAAGGCCAGATTGCTAGATCCTACATATACTCAGGAGAGCCGAGCGAATGATGAACATGATCAGCTCTTGTGGTTGGCATGATGCTTCAACAATATGTCCCTGGTTCTTTCCCAGCGTGCAGGATATATAATATCCGACCCATGGTCTTTCGAAGCTTCCTCGATAGCGTATTGCAAGGCAGTGCGGCCATGTGCGTCTACTTCATTGGTCTGAATACCGATAACGTTTACAAGGAACTCCAGGGATTCTTCAGTGAGCCAGCCCGATATAGCTGCGTGGTGGAGGATAGTTCTTGCAGCACAGTCTCTTTTTGCTAGATCCACGCCGTGGTGGTTTAGAGCTTCCAGTATGGGGACCTCAAGACTGGGCGATGTAGCACACAAATGTCCGAGGCTTTGCCCATGGCAGTTGACGAATGATGCGTTTCTTCTGATTGGAAGGAGAAATCTGCAGATATCCTCGACGTTGGAGTCCCATAGGCCGTTCTGGAGGAGACTCGCGAGGGGGGATTCACAGGAATCATCAAGCTCTGAACTGTCCACTCCTTCGTCAAGTAGGCACTGCACGGTTTCGATGTCAACGTGTTGCCCCCAGAACAACCGGTGAAGCAAGTTTTGCCCATACTTGTCCTTCATCATTACAAGCTTGAATGCTCGTGCCTCTTTCGTCTCGAGAATGGCGACTATCGCACTGTGGTCTCCGTTTTGAACTGCGTGATCGAGTGCATGGAGGAGGCATTCTTCAGTCCATACCGCTTCCGTACCTGTGCTAAGCAAAGCAACAATCGATGCAGTATCACCAGCTTCACTGGCAAGATGCAGTGGGCTTTTTAGACTGGAATTGACACACGAAGGGTCGGCTCCTCGGGAAAGAAACTTCTGGACCAAGGTCACGCTTTCTGGTTTCCCATACTTGATGCAGTGTAAGAGGTTTTCTTCTTGGCAGTCTTGTGTTGCAGTGGAAGTCTTGGGATGTGCCAGTAATGTATCAAGTATCCTTTGACGCGCAGACGTGGCAGTCGAAAAAGTTGGATCAATTACATCCCGATACAATGTTGATTTTGAACGGTATTCTACTCTGTAACTCTCGTCTACCCAGTCGTCTCTACATTGCGTTCCAAAGAGTGTGGTGCGCTGGTTGAGATGTAGGGGAGTCTCGCCATACTCGGAAAGAGCATTGGGATCGGCGCCGTGATCGAGAAAGAATTTCGTCATCGTAAGATTACCGGTCAAGGCTGCGAAGTGTAGAGGAGTCAGGCCAACTGCGATGGGTTCTGGAATCGGATGTACGGTGTCCATGTGATCAACAGGACTGAATGTGTCGCCATCCCAGGACCACGACTTTCGTCGAACTCCTATATTGACCGGGACCCCTGCATCAAGGAGTTGTTTCGCGGCCTCCTGGTTGCTATAAAGAACACAATTATGAAGCGGCGTCATATTTCCGATATCGATCGCATCTATCGAAGCGCCGTGTTGCTGTAAGATACTGATGAGCGATGGTGTGCACTCATCACTGCGAAGGGCATGATGAATGGGACTTCTCAGTCGCTCGTCCAAACCACAGTCGGCGCCTCCTTCGAGCAACAACTTGACTGTGGCTTCTCCTCCTGTTTCGATAGCAGCCTGGAGTGCGTTATCCCAATCAGAATATATGGACATAGGCGCATTGACGTCAGCACCTGCGTCGATTAGCAACTTGACCATTGCCTCGTCACCGTATCGTGAAGCTTGGTATAGCGGAGTGCCCCAATCTATAAAATTGATGTTGAGGTTCGCGCCGGCATTGATTAGCAGCTTGGCCACTGTTGTATGGCCTCCAGCTAAAGCTGCTAAAAGCGCGTTCCCACGTAGCACGCCGTGCACGTCAATATCGGCACCTTGATCCAGCAGAAGTTGCGTAATCTTACTCAAGCCCAGTCTTGCTGCGTAGTAAAGAGGTTTTATCATATCATCCAGTTCTCGTTCCAATTCTGGACCTTCAACCAGATCAGCCACTTCTGGATCACTCAACCGCAACCAACTGTAATATACGGGATTGTCCTTCGAAAAAACACTCAGTGCTAGCCGGCATATGTTTTCGTTCTCATCTCCTGCCTTTTTAAAATGGGAGATCCAGAAGTTCGCTGAGTACATCGCGAGCGCAGAGATGTCGAGTTGTGCGGGAGAGATCGGTCCCAGAAATTGGTTGAGGTATCCAATACAACCTTTCATTATCGCTTCATGGCTTTCACCTTCTTGCATGTGATATTGCTTTGCTGGTCCTAGCTTGATTCTGTCTGAAACAAGGTACTCTTGCACTGAGTAGTGTGCTAGAGAGAGCATTCGTGGGTCAGCTAGTCGTCCGTCTTGATTTTTTCTCTTTTCTGCTGAACCGGTGACAGTAATTAGACTGGAACAGATGTCTAACGCTTCTAGTGGATCTATCAGCACTTCATCGCGATCGAATATCGGTTCGCTCTGGATATCGATTGCAGCCACTTCGGCAACTTCCTCGATGGTGAGCGGCCTTTCAGAGAAGGTCAACCACTGCAAGATGCGTATTGCATACACGCGGTCTTCTTCGCGTATAGCAGTGAGAATTCGATCGTATGTTTGATCCAAAGTTTGTGGCAGGCTAGCGAGCGACCTGCGCAGCGTGGCTAAATTACGACTTTTAGCCAGCATGTCAAGTTGACATGCAGCCCATCGGAACCTGTACTATCGTTAGGTGCAACTCACTCAATGATTGGGTAGGTACACATACATCCCGCCAGCTCGGCTCATCAAGGCTGTCTCAATCTCTTGTTTGATATCAGCGTCCTTGTTCCATTTCGCCAAGGCCTTGTCTTCATGCAGCCTGTTTCGAACGTATCGCGATATGTCTTCGTTCACTATGTCCCTCTGAAGACTGACAATATTATCTTTTTCGATGTGACTCTCTAGAGACGTTTCGATGTCCCTCTCTTTCCGACTAGTCAGGAGCAGGCGAACCATGTCAAGCTTCCACCCAATCACTGATTCAAGCATGCTCATCAGTTCCGAGCGTTGTGTACACTCATCGAGCGCGTCAAGAACAATGTAAACATGTGTAAACTGCCGCATCACCTTCGGCATTACGTCTAGGAGTTCATGTAGTGACGGCTGTTTTTCTCCGTTCTTGCAGGACAAGAACAAAGCGTCAACGTCCTTGTGTGTCACAGCCAGGCACTGCAGGAACTGGCGGAGCAACGAGCGGAACATCAGTTCTGGATCCTGTTTCTGCGAATCGTTGAAATCGAAGTAGAAGTAGACTGTCACTTTCTGTATGTCGTTTTCGCAGTGCTGCAGCATGTGCTTGATGATAGTAGAGCTCAGGATGGTCTTTCCGCATCCTGGAATTCCATGCAGCCAAAGCCGCGACGCTGCAGCCTGCTTCCAGTTATCGAATTGTGCGCTGTTCAGTAGCCAGAGCCCAGTGTCAGCCTGCCGCTGCTTCTGCGCTTTGTGATAGTTTGTAAAAGGGTCAGGCGCTGAAAGCCAGCAGCGGATTTTGCTAAGCCTCTCGGATGCCTCTGGCATCTCCTTCCTTAGTCGCTCCAAAGCTCTTTCTTTGCCTTCGCCATAGATCAGCGGAAGGTGGCAGCCGAATATGCCTAACAGACAGTATGCACCATCTTCTTCGCGCGTCGTCTGGCGACTTTGTGCCCAAGAGAATCGTTCATCAATATCGAATTTAGACAGATCACTCCCAGTCAAAGCGTCAACAGGTATCTTTGTGATTTCGTGTATCGTCTGCTTGAGCGAATCCCTGTCGCCCAGCCATGCTTCATCTTGAGAGAAGAACTCAACGGATCGTGGTGCGAGAAGTTCTTGGAGTGTCCAACCTCGGCTGAACCACCTGCTGGTCCTGAAAGCCGCCTTCCATCTCGAAGAAGACTTGCATTCACCTCCTAATGACTTGCCCTCGACGTCCGTGAGGAAGGCGTAGCACCTTTCTGCCTTCTGATACCAGCGAAACATCGAGTTGATCGCCTCTGAAAGCTCTGTATGATTGGCCTTGTCGATGCAGCATGTGTCTATCCAGAAGTATTTCAGACCGTCACGCTTTGCTTGTTGTGCGCAGAAGTCAATCTTCTTCCAACCGTCTTTTCTCTTTGCGTCGTCATTGTTCAAGTCATCTAGACTCTTCATGTCGTTGAAAACCACCTCTTGGTCCCCCCAAGTGTGCGAAAGGATCGCATAGGGGGGGATGTCGTCCTTGAGGATGATATCACTGGTGAACTCGAGCTTTCCGTCATCTGTGATATGTAGTAGCCGCATCTTGTCGTGGGTGTGTAAGACGTCCTAGGAGCGCTTACCCTCCCCCATATGCGCGAGCGGTAGGAACCTCGAAAAGGCCGAAGCGAATGGATGATTCACAGCGACTCTTGCGTGCAGGGCGTGGAATACGTAGTTGTCGAGCTTATTGTGGATTTCAAAAGCGATTTGCTAAGTTGGAGGTAAGGAATGAGAGAGCGGCTTTTGGGGGCTGAATGTTGGGCAGAAGGCGCAGCTCGCATGCGCCGTGGCGTCCACCAGAGAAGGCGGTGCAAGGCTGAGAAAGCATAATTGCGCAAGAGCACCATTCGATAGGCTGAGAGCTGCAAAGTGCGACAAGGTAGTACGACAGCGCGATGCATGACCTGATGGTGACTTTGAGTTGTGTCAGTAATTTCATGGATCGCGTTCGCCCATAGATAGGTTGAGCTCCTGCCATATGGCTAGTCTTGGCAGGTCTGTACACTACTATGACGTCCGCACAAGGACATACTGTCCACTGCGGATTTATGCCACATGTCAAAACAGCAGAAACTAGCCACGAAACATGATATGATGAAGTTGCATGATATCCATAGAAAAAAACAGACTATACTCTAGTCCTCGCGCTCACTAAACACCCAAACTCCCAAGTCTCTCGAGGAAAGGAAAAAGAAAACCACCTATGGTATACATACGACATCTCAACGATTCCAAATCCCTCTCAAGCACCACCCTGCCTACCCGTCGTGGTAGCAGTGCTAGGCTGATCGTTGTTCCAGGTAAGATACGTATGATCACCAAGTTTCCTCGGCTTAATGAGATGCGTAGCCAGGAACACCGCGCCCAACAAGATGCAAATACCGCCCACAACAAGGTATGCGATACCGAGGAACGGGTTCTTGCCGCCCATGACGGTGCGCGTAGAGATGAGGATAGATTTGGTACCGCTGTACTTGTCGACGGGGAAGCCTATACACACACATGAACATTAGTAACTTGTCCTCGAAAAAGGGGACCAAGTAAGATCCAAAAAACTTACGATCATAAATCTTCAACCGATACGTCCCCGCACTCAACTCATCATGATCATTCCTCTGATACAACTTACTAAACGTCGGCAACCCCGCCGTCCGCATCCAAACCTGAAACTGCTCCCACGTGTGCAAATCCGGCAGGGACCCATTATACCTCCCATTCGGATACTGCTGCTGCCAATTCGGCGGCGGCACCACATCCTCGGGCTTATATTTCGTCTTTCCATACAAATCCCCTTCGTGCGACCAACTCGTCCCTTCAACCGTCATGGTGTAGTTCTGGCCACTAGCATCGGATCCACCAGCCGGATTAGCGAGTGTGAGGTTGGAAAACGTGTCGTTGAACATGGAGTTTGCAATGAGGCCGCAAGGGTAGTATGGCAAGCCTGTTTCCGGGTCGTTATCGAGTGGGGAGCAGTCGCCTGAGCTGAGATCGCTCGCGCTACGGACGTCGCCTTTAAGTTGGTCGATATCAACACTTTTGACGTATCGGCGATGGTTCTGGTAAAAGTTTGTGAGGCGGTAGTAGAAGAGAATGGGCGGCTTGATGGCTTCCGGGATAGTGAAGCTCAGGATGCACACGTTTGTTTCGAGCGAGACGCCAGATTCAAACGTGTAGTTCTCGCGGCCCCATCCCCACATGGCCGCTGGGTCGGCATTCGATTTGAACGTCGAGGAGACGCGGCCGGACGGAATGGATTCGAGCTGGTTTTCGGCTGTGGGGTCGAAGTTGGTCGAGTCTTGGCGGGGCGCGGTGGTGTTGCAGTTTGTGTAGTCGATTGAGATCTCCTGGACCTGGAGGGGGGAAGGTTGTCAGCATCGACGCCCTTATGTTGACGTATACCGTTTGGCACTTCATACCTGCGCACTAGCATACAACAGTAACCCACCGATGGGCGCAAAGATTACTCCGACGATGAAGAAGAGAGGAAGGACAGTCTTCGGCGTTAAGATGGGCCTATTGCGCGGTCAGTCGTGATGGTAATGCGTCTCCCTGCCTTGCACCTACTGCCATGCTTTCAAACGCTGCTGCCTGAACGCAGTATCTATTCCTCTCGTCAGTACATCCTCCTCGGGCACACTATGCGCACATGTGTGCGCGCCCAGGACTGTTCTTACTCGGCGGCCTCCTGCTCTTCGTCTTCTTCGGCTCTTCGCGGTTAGGGTCCTGACTGCTTATCGAGTCGGTGTGCTCGACCTGGTCTGTTCGCGACATGGTGGTGTATCCGCGCGACTCGGCGGTCGACTGGTGGAGGGAGTAATTGTGCGGTCGTCACCGGAGAGAGTTGGTGAGAACGCGCGGGTTTGAGGTCGGCCAAGCCGTTGTCCCAAATTAGTGACAGAGCGAGCGGCCGCGCCACGCCTGCACGCCTGCGGAGCTTACACGTCCCCGCTTCCGGGGACCCTGAACTTGAACCGCTCTCACGGACATATCACGGACTCGTCGTCATTACACACCCGGAGCAAATGCGCACTACTCTGCTCAATTGGCTTTTCCACGCAGACATTGCAGTAATCACTTTCAATGCACGGCGCATGTTCATCGTCGTGATACTAACATGATTGTATTCTCATCTATCGCTACCAATTCATAACAAAGCCTGCATTTGCGGCGACAACGGGTGTGAGCTGAGGGGTATCGCATGCCGTGGAATAAAACCAAAGTAGTAGTAGAGAAGCCCAAAAACGCCGTGGGAGAGCAGTGCCCAGTCCCAAAACACCTATCCATGCCAACAGTAATATCCAAAACGCCTATCATAAATCATGCCAGAGGAAGACAACCCTGAGCTCCCTCCGTGTTGTTCATATCAGTCTTATCCAAGAAAAGCGTACTCGAACATTGAGCCGCGAAGATGCGATGAACAAATTGATGCATCGTAACCAAGGAAAACGTAAAATAGGAATAGAAAGAAAAAGAAAAAGGGTGCCGTGTGCTATATATCGCATGTTTGCGATGCGAATCGTTCAGAGATACTGGCGAAAGTACTCCGGATTGAACCAGCCCACACGATCATACGACTGCCATAACTTACTAGCTTTGTTGACGTCAATCTTGCACGCCTGCTGCGCATCCGTCTTGCGGAACTCCTTGCCAATCTTGAGTGCCTCGATGCGAGCCTGGAAGATGCGTCGCTTGCTCGTAAGATACGTGGCGCAGTTGAGGCGGAGCGTGCCAGCGAGGTTCAACTCAGCCTCGTGCAGAAGATCACGATCGGGATCGTCGGCCAGTGACAGTGCTTGCCCTTTCCACTCAGCCTTGAGGATCTTGGTGTTGCCCTTGGGCAGCGTGTCAAGCGGTGGCGAGTAATCTGGAATCGCGTTGTAGTCGGAGTCGTCCCGATTGGTGGCTGGTCGGGAAGGCTTAGGAGAGGCAGACTTTGGTGAGGTGGTGATGGTGGTGGTGGTGGTCATGGTCGTGTCGAAAGAGTCGTGGATTTGTGTGAGAGGCGTGCGTTTGGCCTTGGGTGCAGCGCGAGGAGTGCGAGGAGGCAGCCGAGGAACAGCGACCTTGGGCTGGCGGGGCCGCGACGATGGGGCAGGTGCAAGCTTCTTCAAGGGTGAGCGTTTTTGCACGCCGGTTGGCTTGCCGTAGTAGCTATCGAAGCGTCGCTCCTGAGCCCACCACGCTTTCGGATCCTTCTTGGCCAAGGCGAAGACATTGGAGACAAATGTGGCGGTCAATTCGTAGTCTGCGCGACTCGGCTTGCTCTCTAGCTGTGCGTAATCCTTGGAGTTCATGTGCGCGGTGATGGCCTCTTGTGAGGCTGACTCGGATGATTCCTCGGGGAACAGCGGCATGTCAGCAATGGGAGCCGCTGCATCGACCGGAGCGAACAGCTGGGGGTCCCGCGTGCATTGTTCGTCGGCACTCTCCATGTTCTCCTTTTGTGCCTGTGTGTCGTATGGCGAGATTGGCGGAGAGGCGTAGGCGATGCGGTGCGCGGCTGCTGCCTGGAGGGTCATGTCGGGGCTGTTGGCGGACTTGGAAGCTCCTGAATTGAACGAGGAGAAGGGCGATTGAATAAATGCAGGCGGAATTGATGTGCCAAACGACTCTGATCGCTTCATCTCAGGGGGCGAGAGGAGCGAGGAAACGGTGAGTCGATTGCTCGGGGGCGTCTTGTAGGGCGAGTTTGCCATTGCGTGGGTGTGTGAGAAGTTTGTCCTTGGTAAGAGCGCAACGTCGGGGGCGGTAGCGGTATTTGACTACTTGGTTGCGTCCAGGCAGCCACAAGGAAAATGCTGCGTTGGTGATGCGAACAATGGTTGAGGGGGGGATGCTTCAATTGGTACGAGGTATGTGAGTGGAAGCTGTGGCAGGCAGCCTTGGTTGAGTAAACGGCTTCGCCACAGTTATATCGTCAGGTGCGAGCAGGCGCAAACGTGACCGTGGAACCCGGCAGAATGGTCCGACCGACTGCTTAGACCAGCTTGTTCAGTGATGAATTAGTAACCCTAGCTGCGAACTGGCAGTGCGGAGATAGGACGAGTTGAATTGGATGGGAGGTTAGTCGTCCCGAAACAGACGGAGTGGGCGGGCTCGTTATAAGAAGCACCACCCAAGGTCGTCGGGGTTTCAGCAGGCTACAGGATTGCGAACAAGGCCAGTGTGACTCTGCCTTTGAGACACTGCGGCCCATGTGCTAGCGAACCAGACAAAGAGGGTGTGCGGTTGGCGCGTGCCAGGCTCTCCTCCTCCCCCAGGCCAGGCATCATCCATATGAGGAGCGCCCGTTGCGCGCGGCCGGCAGCTGACGAATGCGGGCGGCCAAGAAGTGAATAGAAGGAAGACGAAGGGGGCTCCAATTAGAGCGGCCAATTGCAGGGCGACGCCTGAGGCGGAGCTTGTGCGGACATGGAGCGAGCAATGGGCTCGTCGCAGTCAGAGTTGAGTCACTGTAGCTGCACAGTTGCTGAGCAATTACTTGTCGCTCCGTCTATGCAAACCCGGCTAGCCCGCACGAGTCGGAGCCGACTCAATGCATCCCCGACATTTGCATTGTCTCGTCATGAGTAGACTATACACGTTTCCTGCTGCCATTGATGAGCTTTGTGACTGGCCTCTTGCCATTGCATCTGTCTGGTACCGAATTGCATACCACTGCCCACCGTTGCCCTACCATTGGGCGCCCAATTCCCAGCCAGCGTGTCACAGCAGCGCCCAATCCCATACCACTCTACACATCGCTTCCGGTCGACAGTCACCGCTTCCGTCATCTTCCATCTTTTGCCTCGTACGCTATGCGCAGTCTGACCGCCGTCAATAATGCAAACATGACTATCCCGCATGCTCCACATCCTAGCTGACCCTGCGCTTGACCTGCCAGAGAAACCCAATTCACTGCAACTACCTTTCAAAGCGAGTGCCGCACTAATTGGGTCTGTCTCTGCATGGATCCGACCCCCCTTCTCCGTCAGCGGCGGTTACCGAAGACTTGCTCACCGAGTTCTGTGGAATAGCGGTGCCCGTTCATGGTCTTGTGACATGGCCTCTCTCTCAAGCGGCTGTAGTGCCAACGCCACTGGCGCAGGCGCTGCACAATTGCACCAGCGCCGACTAGAAGGTTCACTCAGGGCACGCCAATGTCTCGCAGCGGGTAGACAGGCGATGTCTGCATCGTTAGCACCAACTGCGGTACGTTCCCGCCCATATGTTATCGATTGCTCATGTCGCTCCTTTTTGCATGTGAAAGTCCCCGAGCTCAGCAGGACATAATAGCTAGTAGGTCATCTACACCATGACGCCTCAATCATCTGAACACCTCCCACACAACTCCGCACACAGCAGCTCACGGGGCAATCAGTCCACACACCATCTCCCGGTTCGTCCAAGGTCATCCTTTAGAATATTCCAGGGTGTCTTATCATCGTTATCGTGTCTGTGGGGGAGGGGGTTCAAGCATACCCCTCAACCTCTCTTTGTATTCTCCCCGCCCAGCGCTGTTACCGCCCAAATTGCCATCTGACCTCAGCCGCCTGATACCGTCTTTTGCCTTGACAGCCCTCGCTCCATATCGACATTCAAGGAACATCGCTTCCGCCATACCCCTCATTCATCTGTATAGTTCCGCCGGACAACTGCACGGCCCAGACCGATGCCGAGTAGGTTCCGCGGCCAAAGCAAATACAATGCTAATCGACAACTGACTCGATATACTTTGCCCGTGCGAATGAAAGCGTATCGATGGCGGTGCGAAACCACGCCATGATCGAACACCCATCACATACGTCTCATCAGTCTAGAAGGTCTGGCCATGTGCGCTTCTGCGCCGTGCGGGTAGATCTGCGCATCCCAGCGCTGCCCTCCCAAATCTGGTCAGCCGACTGCGAACCGATAGGACAATGCGACCAGATGACTTGCTGCCCCATCTTCGCAAGTTCCACACTTACACAGCAGGGCACCAGTCCCTGCATCACTGAGCCCGCTAGACATGCCATTCCTGTTTGAGTTGTCAACAATGGGGGATACTGCAGGACCTTGTTTCATGGTGGACATGGTTCTCGCAAAAGCAGTTTGTTGGCGTCCCTTTGATTACCACACGTTGTGAGATGATGTCATGCAGGCGCCAGGTTCGCCCTGCATGGGTATTGCATTTTGAATACCGCCGAAAATAGACGGTGAGGCGACCTGTCAGCAGAAGCAGGCTGCAGGCACACACGCAGTACGTGGTAAGACGTCGTGTCGAATTGGCCAACAATCTCAGCGTATACGATGTAAGCAAGGGCATTGGAGAGCCGGCTGCTAAAATGACGCAATATATGTGTACGCTGGCAGATACCAAGACTTGAATACGTACTCATGAGATCAGAATGTTGATAATGTCATTGTAGGCCTGGACACCGGAAGCTGCCGGATCACGTTACCTGGTCCATCTCACGTGGTTCTGTGGACTGAGCGTCGCGCCTTCCCGTACTCCCGCGCTCCCGTCGCGACTGCTCCATTATGTGTGCCTTGGTCTCTGCGGTGCGGGGAGTCTTTAAAGACCAACATGCCTTGGAGATGGTCTAAGTTTTCTCTTTAATCGACAGGTAAGTCATCGGTATAGCGCAGTCTTTACAGATAGACTATCCCAACAATCTCCATCACAGTGAAGTAGTGGTAATGCCAATGCAGGATAGCACAATGCGATTGAACAACCTAGTATAACATTTCTACAAAGGTAGATTTTCGGAACTCTAGATAATTCTAACGACACCTAGTCCCTAGAAAGCGATACCTAATGGTTGCAAGTATATAACGCTTATTTGTAGGATAGAGAATCAAAGTCAATCTCCTCTTTGCGACGTCTAAAGCGCACCATATTCCTAGGATCAAGGCACGTCTGGTCCCCAGTCTGGACAAACGGCTCCAAGTTTGATCCCGGTAGGAGCTCCCAGTCGTACTTTGTTAGAATGTGGCAAAGCGCAATCTTTACCTCGAGAGCAGCAAAGAAACGTCCAGGGCATGCGTGAATTCCGTGGCCAAAGGTGAGGTTTTCGGGGCTAGTAGTAACAAGGAGCGCCTTTGTAGAATTACTGGTGTCTTCGCGCATCCGAAGGTATCGGTAAATGTCGAACTTTTCTGGATTCGGGTGCACCTCTGGATCAAGCATTGCGTGCGCATCCACAGCAAGACGATCGCCCTTGTTGATAGTAAGACCGTTGGAGAGGACAACCTTCTTCTCTGCAATTCTTTTCATGGCGACTAGTTTGCAACAATCAGTAAACCAGATGCTGATATTGCAGGAAGGTTGAAGATTGAACACCACTTACGCATCTGTAACGGCTTCATTCGCTGTGTTTCCTTGAGCGCACTGTCCATGAGCTTCAGATTAGCGATTGAGGCTTTGGAAAACCCCTCAGCGCCGAGAACTGATACAATCTCCGCCCTCAAGTCATCGATAAGATGAGGCTCGTTTCCAAGACGCATGATAACCTGACTAAGCAAGTCAGAAGTTGTGTGGATGGCGGCGATGGTAAGAAGCATCTGGTATGCAGCAGGGTCATATGCAGCTCCCCGGCTCTCTTCCTGAAGCCACTCCAATGTGTCTTCGAAGACCGGAACTGGCGTACCCATCTTCCTGGCTTCAGCCTTCATCAGCTCCCTCTCCTCCAAAATCGGTCTAAGGATAGCGCGGATGCCATCGAGCTGCCGAAGGACTAGTTTGGCATCTTTTGAAACCCATGGGATCATGAAGTGCAAGTACCTAGGCCATGCAAGAAAACTTTTCGTGGATTCGACAGCAGTGACGACGTATTCTTTTGATAACCTGATCCAGGTTTCATTGCGGCAAAGTTTGTCTCCAAGGAATATCTTTGATGACAGGCGGGACACAACGTTAAGTATGTCGTTTGTGATGTTGGTCTCTTTCCACTCTAGCAAACTGTTAGTCTGCGTAAAACGTAAGCAATTTCATCCATACCTGAAGAATCGCCAAAGACGACATCGAGGGCGAAAGAGGTCTCATCAGAGAGCGGCTTTGATGTGAAATCTGCGGTACAGTTAGTGCTGCGCTTTACTTGGTACAGTCTCCACGAACTCAATTGTTTAGTGAGTTGTTTCTTGATCACTTTCTGTACAAGATCCCTCTTATCGCCAAGAGTAGCAAAAGGCTCAAAGCCAGTCAGATAGCCGTGGAAATCCTACCGCCTGAGTAAGCATGACATTGTTCGCAAAACAGGTCTGTGTGCCTTACTTGTGCAAAAGTTGTGCCAAAGTGTAAAGATTTTTCATTGCGGATCATTTGAGCGTACGAAGGCGGGAGGACAAGCATCTCTCCAACATTGGTGATTAGTCTGTAAGGCTGCTTGCCGTATCGCTTTCTGGCATTTTCCACGACGTCGAGCCCGTGTGTTATGAATTCGAGTTGACGAGAAAAGGCTGTCTTGAAGCGGTCTGAGGGATTCGCGAGAGGGATTTTCGATTTGTTGGAGGTGATAATGACGAGCGAAATCAGAGCTACAACACCAAGTGATACTGTAGTAATGATTGGCATCGACATCGTGGTCATATCCAAGGATGGCAATTCCAACATAGGAACAAATGAGGGCTTAGGGTTCGTCATATCTGCGAATAGAGGTGTTGATCAAAACATTGATGAGAGTGCTCCCTAGATAACAAAAGTCTGGCGCTTCTTGTAGTCAAGAACCCGCGGGGATTTGGCTCGGTGACACAAGACGAAATCTTTTGCGTCACCATGCAGTTGACCCTGTAGCGTAGATTGCCAAGTGTAAAACGTTTTGCTGTTTTCGAACGTACCCGGGAGATTATGGGTTCCCCAGGCAAGCCTTGACAGGGTATATCAGAAACATAGACGCAGCCAAGGCTCAGTACCGCATGTTGTGAATGACGACTACACAGAACAGAATGGCAGTATTTCAGCGAGATATAGTATTCGATGTCTCAAAAAACCTTTTCCTCAATTCATTACATCAAAAGTAAACATTCATGTATGCCATTATGCGTTTCCTTATCGTGTACTTAGGTTTGGGTGCAGAGCAGACCCCACAACAGCTGCTCTAGTGTCCACATGTACTTTCAAGAAGTATGATCATATGATTGTCACACATACGTACCTCTAGCAATTCGTCCGGAGCGTTAAAAGTATCCAAGGACCCAAGCAGTCGTACGGTGCGTCCCGCAATGCTAAGTGTCCGAGATCGTCTCTTACGGGGCCTCATATGGTACGAATGAATCATTTTGGCACATAGATTGAGGTTTGTTCAACAGCAGTTACCCTATACAGATCGTCTGATTTGCGTGTCTAGTCTATTCATGTCTGTGCATTCATCTATAAGATCCCTGGACGATGAATAATCGAACAGGTAATGCACCGGAGCTAACGGCTAACTGCGCAAAGTGGGTCTCTGGCTCCACCCGTCTCTCTCCAAGCTGGAACGGATCCCCAGATTCTTGAAGTAACTATTCTGACCTCGCCTTCACACCCGGTTGATGCTCGATGGATTCTCCGTTGATTTTCACTCAACGACACGAGCCTGGACTTGTGAACGTTAATTTTCACTGGTTCTCTAAAACACTTCGTCTTCGTTATAACCCTCTGCATCTTTCCTGAGTTTTTTCCCCGGCGAGTATGTGTTCGTTCCTTGTTCAACACTTTCGACGAGATCGGTGTCTTGAACTGCTTGACACTGCATTCATCACGGACAGCCATACGCTCGATTGTAGCTTTCTCTCGAACACGGCCGACCATATTATTCCAGAGCTGACTGCGTCAATTCAGATAGAGCGCGCGCAAATGAGTTTCAAACCAAAATCGCACCCCTCCCAGCCCTTATGACTGCCTTGTTCAGTATGAGGCGCGATTCGGGGTCCCAATCGCCCTGGAATGAACTTGGCGCTACAGTGCCCGTACGCCATGTAAGCCACCCCATCGATGTCGGACAACTAGAAAGATGATACTGTATCGTACTGCACAAAAGCTATCATCACGAGAATCTCTAGTATATCACTATATAGAACCTTGTGCAGCTTTTTTACTATCTCAACCTCGCTGGTATCTTGCTTGTACCGCCGTTTCTGGGAACTTTAGGTAAGGGAGACGCAGCCAGAAGAGCAGCGTCGATGTCACTTGTTGTAACAACAACACAACGATGCTTTCTGGGATTTCAACTAGCCTTGTGTAAGGAAGACTTCCCGCTCATATTCATCGTGTGTATCGTAACTTCTTGGTGCGGTCGCAGCGTCGCGTTGCTGCTTCTTGAGCACTCGTTGCGCAGCCAACTCTGTGCGCTTTCTTCGCTCCGTGACGCTCCTCAGCGGCTTGTTGTCGAGCCACCTCTAAGTATAGCTAGGGAGGCCCTGGAGTTGAGACACACTAGGCTAGAACAGGAGAAAACGTCATCTACACTAGTTGTAGATCTTCAACGGATGACGCTCTGCATAACGTTAGGCAAACATGTTATGTTAGTAAAGCACCCTGCTAAGAAAGGATGCTGCTTTACATAACGTTAAGCAACATGTTATTTTCAGTAAAGCCCCCTGATGAGAACGGCATGGGTATCGAAACCACTCATGCTCTAGCAGCCACTGGCGCGACCCTCTTCCTTACGGCCCGAAACACAGCTGAGCCTCAGTCCGTCCTCGACACTAACATTACCCTTTGTCTCCATCCAAGCATTACGGCTCTCCTGCAACACCTTCAGTATCTCCCCTACATTGCTCACACGAATAGAGATCGACTTTACCAACAGATGACCAGCCGGATCCAACAGCCCAGGCCAAAAATACCTATTAGCCCTAACAACTGCGCGGCACAATCGCCTAACCCGATTGTCGATCTGGACAAGGAGCGGCGGATATATCTTGAGTTCGCGATCGTGCAAGTCACCTTCCTCGAAATGATAGCGGTAGTAACTTTGCATCTATCCCTCTACGAGACCATACTGTTTATTCCGCAGATCCAAGAGCAAACTCTACAAGACTGCATTATGCAACTGTTCGATAGATTTTCGACGGCTACCCAGAAGCCGTATTCTTCAAGTTGGTAACAGTAGCAAACATCAAATCCTTGATCCCACCCAACCCTCTCTCATTCAACCACTGCAACACAAAGACCTTGTACCCATTTGCACCCTCCCAGTCCACGCCCACACCACCCTCCTTCTTAAGCAATGCCAGGCTCTTCTCACCAACAGGTCCAGTGTGATACTTGTTGATCATTCCCTCGCCCACCTTGTCAATTTCCCACCTCTCCATCGCACGCCACGCCGCAGCAGAGAGCGACGTCAAGCACGGATTGAATGACAAGGTAAACGCACCCGCAATAGCATAGTTTCGGTCCACAGTCTTTAGGTAGTTGTCGAGTGTGGAGCGAAGTCCGTCATGGCAGTACAAGCCCTTTGACTTGTCCTTTTGCGCAACAAGGCCGCGAGATACCCATACGAGGTTGTACAAGTCGCGCAGACACTGGTTGAACGTATCGGTAACTTCTGGTGGGTAATATACTTTGACTGGCTTGGGATGCGCGTCAAAGGCTGACTTGTACGTGCCGATGATGCCGCATATGCGGGAAAGAGTCGTCGCGGACGTGTCTTGGGCGAGCAGGTAGACAAGATGCATAGGCGGTAAATGGATCGGGATGATGTGTGGGTTCGAGGAGGCGCTGACGTGTTCATAGAAGGAGAGGATGGACGATGTGAGGTCGATGCCAGAACCTTGTGGGACGGACAGAAGAGCCGAGGTGAACAAGTCCCTCACATGCTCCATCATGTCTTCCAATACTTCCTGGCCCGCTTCTCGTATGTCTTCGGAACCTGTGGAAGTCATGTTGATCTGATTTACCAGTAGGGCTGTGTAGAAGTCGACTAGCGTCGCGTATGCTGAGATTCCCTGGGTTGCTAGGGCAGATTCAATATGCTTGAAATAGGATCTATAGTCCGCGTTGAAGTCATAAACTTGGAGGTAGGGGACAAGCCCCAACACAGTAGCACGATCTTGCTGTCCGTTCCATACCGGCAGATATTTGAGGAGAAAGGCTCGTGCTGGACGATGTAGTTTCTTCGTGAATCGAGCGTACCTCAGTAGCCCATCGAGGATCTCAGATAGGTGTTGGGCGTTTCCAGTGCCTTGTCGGTATTCCTCGAATTGTTCTTCTAGACATGCTGCGAGCCACGTCCTCAGTCGAGCGGTGTTGATCGGCGATGGCTTGAGGGCGATGTATTTCTGTAGTAGTGGGTCCGTGAGGACTGCTACCAGCTGACCCGGTGGCTCTATCCTGTCGAGCTTTTCGACAAAGTCGTCCACACCATCAATACCCTCGAGGGTTACCGAGTTCTGTCATACAGCGTCAATGCTTTCATGGTGAAAAGAGCACGTCTTTCACATACCTCTGTCGCATGATAGGTATGCACGTCTGGAATCATCGATTCTTTGCTACCTTTGGTTCTCCTTCGTAGCACCTTGAACCCGTGCTGCCTATCCGCGTTAGAGTCATCTTCCGCCACGCTGGCCTCTTGGATTGCGAGGATTCTGGCTTGCCATTCGGAATCCGGTCGCTATCAAGTTAGCCCGCGTTCAGCAGTGTGACGGTGCATTGCGGGGAAATGGTGTGGAGGATCCAAGGTAACATCTATGGTGACACGAGGGACGGGTACTCACTGGAGCGAACGACTTTCGGCTCGTGGACGTGCTGCCAAGAATGATATCTGGATAGTAATCCTTGTAAACACGGAGAAGACCTTGGAGTGCTGGTTCATTGCCGAGGCCGCGAGATAGCTCAAGCCTGTAGTAGCGTTAGTCGTCGGTGTCGAAATTCTTTTCCTGCTAGTGGTGTCATGCGTACAGTTGCTGTATCCGGAATGGCTTCACGTGCTTTCTGCGAGTGATGAGGGAGAGTAAATGGCACACGGAAGTCCTTCTAAATTAGCACGGATTGGTGTAGTATTTGCTTGGAGCAACACACCTTATGCTAATCATATCAAGCATGCCAAACAGCACGCCGTACAAGCGAGATAGCACTGTCGAGCTTTCGATAATCTCGTGAATGATAATAAGCCACTTTACAAGGCTGTCTTGTGTACCTGGCGATGGTTTGCCCTTGCCCTGCCCAAGAGCACCAACAATGGTGATGACAACATCGCTTGGGACCTTTTGAGATGGATAAAGGTTCTTGATCAAGGTCGTGATGGTTGTTTGGTCTAGTGATGTCTTCACCGACGCGAGCTGAACAATGTCTCGGAGAGCATCCTGGTCAAGACCATTCTCTGAGGCGTAACGGCAGATGACATCGACTATACTAGATACCTTGATTGTACGTTGCTTTGCTGTCGTTCTAGATGCTGCAGGCCTGTGTAAGCACTGTTCCTGAATGGAGTCCATAGCCGCATACCGACACTTACCTTGATGCAGTAGGTTTAGCGTCTCATGCAGCGTCGGCTGCTCTTCTGCAGAGTCCATAAGTAGCGGGCCTGGAGCGAAGTCGATGTGAAGTTACAGGTGACGGATAGCATTACATTGTCAGTGCAACATGCATATGCTAAGACAGTGGTCAGCCTGTTGTATGCGCCGTTGGTGATTACGTGGGCGCGTTGTCGCGATGGTTGTTGACACCCTGATCGCGCCTTCCCACTTCCGATCAAGCGAGCAAGCCCCACTAACCACCGCCGCGCATCTCACGCGTCTTCCACCCACATTTCTTCCATCAGCATTGACTCAAACCTCCAGCTGGTGTATTGCAGACCTGATGTTCATCGCTAGTATTCTAGTCTGGGCACACAACAGCGCGGAAGCCGGTCTAGCTATCCGCAGCTCGTTCACGCTACTTGTGCTTGATTCAATTAATCGTGCAGATATCACCCGCATGTCCGAGCCATCACTGGAGCATGCATCGCAGTTGTCGCCCGCTGCCACATCAGAACCGACCCTTTGTGTTACACGAGAAGCATCGGGTGTAATGGAAGCGGGTCGCGCGGCTCCTACTGGTCAAAAAAGGATGGTCGCCTTGCAGGTCAACGATCAACCCAAGCACGCCTTCTGCAACCTTGACGCGAATCGTACTGCCCCCGCATGCTACACTCCCCTCGACCTGTGGTCTACGTGCAACGGATGTTGAACTATGTTGAGTGGAACGGCTTCCCTTGGATCTTTGTCATTCTTTATCAGGCCGGCCAATTGGCCTCTAGGATCGCTCTTCATCCTCTTCAGGTCATTAAACTCACAACACCACTATTTCTAGATCCTGGATCGACGTTCAGATGTGGCGTCTTCTATTCTCGGTACACACGATTCCGCTACTACCCGACGCAACCGTCGCCATGCAATCATACGCCTGTTGTGCTCCTCACTGATATACACCAACACGCCTCGGCAACGCTTCTGTCGTTCCGTTCAAGGCTATGAACTCGATAACGTAATTCAATCGGCAAGATCCGTACCTATCATGATTAGGAATGCACTGCTCTATCTACACGCGGAGACAACATGGCCGAGGACTTGTACTACACTCTTCATCTTTCTTCTAGTACCACTCCATTACTGCTGCCAATAGTGCTAATATCCACCACCAGAAGCTTGTCCTTAGATAGACAGGGTCTTCGCATCGTCAGGCACAATCAGCAAGGTTGCAGTCCACTCGGCGATCGATGACTGCACAACATTGCTACTTCAGCAGAGGGCTTCTGAGATGGCTACATGCAACCTTGGATAGCCGCTTTATTGTACTCCTGGATTCTACATCCTGAGCGTTCTACTTTGCTATCGAGTATAGCACCCAACGCATGTTGGCTGCTCGCTTCGGACTGGTACGTCAACGGGTATAGCGTCATTGCGGTGCTTTTTGCCACTCAGGACAATATTTGATTCACCATGAGAACTAGAGGCCGAGCAGACAAAAGTTCAGGGCTAGGCTGTCGTAGAGCATGCTTAAATAACCCACCGTCTTCCGTCTCGCCCGGGTCACCTACAACTCTCAGTATCGTATTTTTGTCTTCAACCAGCCTGGAGACAGTCGAACAGTCATTGGAGAAAACCAGAACATACCGCTTCCAAATGGCCTCATCCACCTCTTGCAAGTCGAAGACAACACAAACCTCGTCTACCAACGCCGCCAGGATCGTACGCTGTCCCACGGAAACTATCGAGCGGCTGCGGCATCTAAATGAAGCAGAAATCATCACGCTCTTCACCCCATTTGTACCTCATCCCCCATCAACAACACTGGCGAAGGACGTAGATCCTTTCGAGCCTCTAGGCCGAGCCCTGCCACGACAAGTACGACACGTTCCATACCGCTTCGACTACGGCATGACAGAAATGCATGTCGACTTTCTGCCAGCCAGTGGAGCAGTAGTAATTGTCATCTGCGCCACTACCAACGTGATCAACCACCATGGACAGGCCTTTGAACGGCAACTGAAATTCGCACGAGACATGTCGAAGAAGATAGTACACAACAATACTATAGCCAGTATTCCGACTATCTTGCTTCTCGTTGATGATGACGCTACTGCCCAAGGATATGTTAATGCGGTGGATAGCTTCCCCGCTGTCGTTACGGTCAGCGATTATACTACTGCGGCGCTCGTGAATGTGGTACGCGTTTTGTTTGGCAACTGAACGGCATGACCGCCCTGGTACCGTACCAATTCACAGCCGACATTTGTACTGCGACAACCGTGTATACGTCCGCGTCTGATTGAAAGAGCATGGTCTGAGAGGGACAATCCTTTTATCTAGCAAGTATTTACCTTCAGCTTCGCAAGATACCATGATTACTGGGTGGAACATACGGTTACATTCCTTCATCTTCTTGGCGCTGGTCCTTGATCACTTTATATCATATTCGCGTTACAATCGGCGTGGTGTACTGTTTCCTTATCGGATCCAACTTTGCTTATGGATATCACTTCTCAACGCAACGGGGATTTTGATGGCGTACTTCTGTCTTGCTCTAATCGCGTACGTACCGGCTCACGTCTAATCCAGCATCAACTGCAGACTTATGAGACACTCTTACTACTATTCAGTCTCAACATAGCTTCACACCACTCCAAAGAACCTTGGGCCTGGAGGCCAGAAAAATGACTCACAGGCATCGTCCAACCTCACTGTTCAAATGCTAGCCGCCCATGTACCATACGAATCATCCAGCCAGAGCGTGACATGATTGTGATGTGTGCTCCTAGGCGCGCAGTGCGTCGTGCGTCATGCATATTCCAGTGCATACTGCATCGCCCACGTGAGATGGTCATTGCATACACGCCTCGATGCTTTCAACAACGTACTCATATTGTTAATGCGCATGCCTCCGTATAGACCTGTCAGAATGACGAGACATGGCTACGACACATGGGGAGTCAAGAAGAATGAGAAGGAACCTTGTGATGTAGTTATTAACATTACTATACTTCTCGTACGTCTATAATTCATGCCCTTGCTCGTCCGACGGAAAAGCAGATATAACGCCTCTTTACGCCCCGTCACTATGCACATATGCTCAACGTTCGAGAATCGATGCCCCAAGCCCATATCTCCGCCCTGCCATTGCCCCCTTCAGAACAACATGTCAGCACGTTCTCCCAACTCCCTCTGTTGCCACTCCATCCTTACAACTCCATCATGCCCCTCCCATTCCCCATGGCACCCGCGCCCAACGGCGCATTCGGCATCCCAACATCTTTCGGCGTGGAATTTGCAAGCGCGTCGCGGTTGCCAGAAAGATAGTAAGACATGCGGTTCGCGATGATAGTCAGGTGTTCGGGGAGGTACAGCGACGCGGCGATTATGAGCAGGGAGAGTAGGAGAAAGAGTACTGAGTCTATCGGAATTGTTAGTTTTTCAAATATGCAAGCATGTACTAAAGGCAGGGTATGTGTGTGTAGAGGCAGTGTGGCCTTCAAAGAGAGAGGGGATAGGGGCGGTGAATCTCCGCATTCGAGAAAACAAGACAAGATGCGGTTTTGCGTGCGACAACAAGTCAATGGGGCCAACGTACTGAAGATGAACTTCTCGGTCGAAGTCAACATGTATAGTGAGAATGTGACTTCGTATTGGTACCTCTTGCGCTGGAACCAGCGGAGGAGGGCGGATGGGTAAAGCATTGCGGCGAGGAGGAGCGTGAATGCGCTGGCTAAGAGGAAAGCGGCCAAGAGGACGGTAGTATCAAGCATAGACTTGCGAATTCGTAGAGGAATGCTTTGTGTGCGCACAAAAAAAAGCTTGTATGAGGGTATTGCTGCTGTAGAGTCGTGTAATGATGATTTGGGCGCGCGCGCGGTGTGAGGAGTTCAGGGACCGGTGGATTCGGAGCAGGGATTGCGATTAATTGCATTGCTCCGGACGAGAGCCTTATGACGCGCGAATCGATAACCAGCGAAACAATACTCGAAGTTTCCAACAACCCACTTTGTACCAACGGACAATCCCAATGCTAATTCCATCGCGGATGGCGCAGCACCCAAATCGTCTGCAACCCTAGTTTAACCAAACTCCGCGATGCGCCTCCTCTCCATCAGGGCTCTCGCCCGCCTCACCACCGCCACATCTCTCCCCAGCACCACCAACCCCATCCAATGCGCCTACCTCTCCACCACCACTACTCTCCTCAACGGCAAATCCTTGCCTCCGCGCACCCCCCTCCTCGACACCGACCTCATTGAAAACTTCCTCAAAGGCTCAGGCCCCGGCGGCCAAAAGATCAACAAGACGTCTTCTGCTGTCCAACTCAAACACATACCCACTGGCATCGTAGTCAAATACCAGGACACACGGTCCAGAGAGATCAACAGGAAGATGGCGAGGAGGATACTGCAGGATCGGATTGAGGAGATGGAGTTGGGCGAGGGTGCGCGGACGAGGGTCAAGGCGAGGGAGAAGAGTAAAAAGAAGGCTAGTAGTGCTAAGAAGGCGAGGAGGAAGTATAGGAAGCTTGCAGAGGGGAAAGAGGGAGAAGAGGGAGAAGAGGGAGAAGGGGAAGGCGTGGAGGGTGTGGGTGTGGGTGTGGGTGGTAGCGAAGAGGGGGCAGAATTGCGGGGAGAGGAAGAGCTGGTCGAAGGTGGTGAGAGGAGTAAGACGGCGGGTGGGTGACCATGTGTTCTGTTCACGATTTTGTTATAAAAACCACGAAGAGCACAGCATCGTGCCAAGAGTCCAGGTCGCGACGAGTGTATCAGTGTGCAAGAGGATATATACCCTTCGCAGGCTATGCGCGGAGAGACGCGGAGCCGTGGTAGAGATATCACTGCTCGGCTGGGCATGCAAGTTGCAGACCTTGAGGTGGTCAAACCTCGAGGCCCAGTAGCCAAAGTGACAGGCGGCTATGTGTGGATACAACACCTGTCTGGAGTGCTTGTTGAATGCCGTGTCGATCGCATCCGCTCGCACGTACACTGCACATGTCAGATATAGGATACAACACAAACTCAGTCACAGAACTCTTGCATAAGACCGATTCTGAGCGCCACATTAGTTCATTGCGTTTGATACCTGCTTCCAGTACTTCAGCCACTACACTCGAATCACAAAATGTCCGGTAAGCCACTGTTCTTCAATCTGTCGAAACAAGAGGTATCATTATAGTTACTACAGTAAAGTAGTTGTAAATCATCCGACATGTACAAGAGGAGCTCTTCCAACTACTGTCCAAAAAAAAACGCCCATAAACACCATTGACACAAGCCCAACTGACCAATCCTTACGCACCAATAGCCTGCGGGTTCCAGAACACTTGTGCCGGATCAACCTTTTGCTTCAACGCGGCCAACCTGCTGTACACCGCATCGCCATAGTACAATTTATGCGCAGTCGCGGCATCGTAACTCGGGTCTACGTAGTTCAAGTACGCGCCAAAGCTCGTCTGCGGCTGCGCATTGATAATAGCACTGTTGATGCCGTTGATAAAGTTTATCGACGCGCCTCCATAACCGTAATTCTGTAGCACCCACAGACTATCACGGTCGACGTAAGCCGCGAAATCAGTGTTTTTGCTGTTAATCGCTGATCCGGGACCGCCGTACAGGTTGATGATGATGTAGTATTCTGTCGAGCCGGCTGTCTTGAGGTAATCGTACAGTGCGTTGAGGGCGTTTGATGTCAGACCGCTAGATTCAGGGACTGTGACTGACTTGGCGAAGAAGTCTTCGTGCTCGTCGTAGCCGGTGAGGGGTTCTTTGATACTGGTTTTGCCAGACACTTTGACCATGTAGTCGTACCAGGCCATGGACTCGACGGTTGCTTCGGCGGTGGGCAGAGTGCGGAGCAGCTCGGGTCGGACCTTGGTGTTGAATTCCGAGACCGATCCAAAGAAGGCGCCGGACAGGCTGTAGGAGCCGTAGTTGTCGAGGTAGATGCCGAAGGAGACGCGGTTGTCGACGACGGAAGCATTCTTCGCGACGTCCTGGATGTGCAAGAAGGTGTTGGTCCAGACGCTCTTAGAGTTTTGGATTCCAGTGAAAGCGAACTGGAAGTATGTGATGCTAGCGGGCGCGGCGCGTGTCTGGAGGTAGAACTTTGTCACGACGCCAAAGGACTCAGCTGCGCCCTTGATAGCCCAGAAGATGTCGGGGGATTGTGTTGACGAGGCTTTGATGAGGGTTCCGTTGGCGAGAACGATGTCGGCTCCAATGACCTGGTCCATGGCCAGTCCCCAGTTGCGCGATGTATGGCCGTAACCTCCGTGTGTGTAGTGGCCTCCAATACCAACACCAGGGCAGGTACCCTGGGCTACGGCAGCATTGCCTTGGGTGTAGATGCCGTCACCGAGGTTGCCGAGACGAACTCCTCCGCCAACTGTAGCAACGCCGGAGCTCTTGTCAAGCTCGATAGTCTGGAACGACTGGAGGTTGATCTGCATGGCGCCATCCTTGCCACCGGAGCTAAAGCTTGCATACGAGTGTCCACCTGACTTGGCCTGGATCTTGAGACCGGCTTGGGCACCGCATACGACTGCATCCTGAACGTGCTGGTTGGTGGTCGGAAGAACGATGACAGCTGGCTTGAAGGGAACGCGCAGGTTGTAAGGCTCTGAAAGCTCAGAGTACTCAGCATCTGAGGTCATCTTGTAAGGAACATTCTTTCCATTCAAGCATTGGAGAGCAGATCCAGATGCTGTTGATGATGGGGTTGTTGAGGAAGTCTTGCTAGCGCTGCTTTTGATTGTGCTGGATCCTGAGCCGGTGTTGCTGCCGCAGTTTCCAAAGCCAGACTGGCAACCGCTTCCACACTGTCAGAGTCAGTATACGTCCAGTTATGGTATGCGTTTCAAATACTCACGTATGCGGATGTCGAACCACACCATCCGTTCGCACTGCAGCAGTTGCCTTCAGCGAAACCCAGACATGTGTAGCCATTGGCGCCACCACATGTTGCATCTGGTGATACTTTCTTGGTGGGCGTAGAGGAAGGAGCTGGAGCAACCTTTGTCGAAGAGGGCTTGACCGTTACTGAAGTTGCTTTTGATGTAGTAGTGCCAGTACATGTGCCAAATGCTGAGTTACAGCTGGCACCGCAGTGGTCGACGGAACTTCCGCACCACCCGTACTGCGAACAGCAGTTTCCGAACGAAGAGCCCTTGCAAGTGAAGCCTTTTGTTCCTCCGCAGCTTCCGTCAGTCGATACAGCTCTCTTGTTGAGCGGTGCAGCTGGTGAGGCGGAGGCCAGGCCGATGGACAGCAAACCTGCTGTGAGGGAAACGAGAAACTTCATGGTGAGTGTATAGAGTGAGATGTCACTTCCGTCTCAAGTTGACCAGGGGAGTTAGTCGTAGATAAGCAACGACCGGATGTAATAGCGCCTGCTGACTGAACGGCAGGAACGATCAAAGACTTGCCAAGGTAGGTAGACAAATGTCGTACACAGGGAAGATTATCTTCTTAAGACCACGACCAATACGAGACATTTGCCTCCCTGGCTGCATCCATCACTCCCGTACCTGCATCAGCCGCACGTCCTACACATAAATACTCCCTCGATCCACTCAACACGAACGAAAACTCATCTGCCCTAGATCCACCCGGGATTCGGGGCAGGATACCCTGTGTCGATCCTCTGCTGGTGTGCCACTCTGGTCCTAACACGAGCTTACCATGCAAAGACCGGTAACCCTTGCGCTCGCGACGAAAAGCAAATCTCATCTCCTGCTAACGTGCCGACGATCAATTCTCGTGCGAGCACCCTGGTGCACGATAGCGTTACATGGTAAATGCGGACGCCGATGGAAGGCCTAGTGGGGAAGTTGCAGTGGAAAACTCGACGGCGTTTTAGTGGCGTCGGAAGGGCAGCCTGAAGCTTCTTCATCGGCACGGAGAAATGACGTCTGTGTACCTGTCACTTTCGTATCTCGCCCATCTCCATCCCGAGCTTCTACAGCACTATTCATTAGCTGCTAATGATACGAGCGCGTTTCCGGTAATTTTGCAAGTCGTGCGCTGGGTTAGGCCTTCCAGGCATGAATCTACTGTCATTTGATGTGGGGTCCCGTAGGCCTAGAGGAGTTAGCATGGTCGCCCTATCGGCTGGAAGCGATCATGACCCCTACACGCCTATTTTTGGCACAACGCGAAATCCGAGTAAGGCAAATGCGATGAACCCGACAACCCAATGTGTTGCTGACAACGTTGTAATGCATCGGTAGACTCCTCGTGCCATTATCCTAGACGCCCTCAGCGTGACCCCATTCGTGTTGCAGTAACTCTACAAAATCGTGTACGCTAGATCGTTAGATTATCCTCGACAAAGTGCGGGGTCTGACACAGATGTGGCTTGCCCAGATGTCATTGACATTGATCTCGCTGTGAGAACGTAGCTCGGAACGCCGATTGGCATTATTCTAGCAGCTGAAAGCACGCGAAACTACTCACGTGAAGTACTCAGTCCACAACGTCAGGCAGTAGTCGGTGTAGTACAGCGCTCATCCGGACATGCAAACCAGACTAGGAATGTTAGCTGCACCGCAAACACATACTCGACCACCCTCCCTCTCATCTAAGCACGCAGTATGACAACACCCCCACACCAGATCGAACAGCCTTCTATAGACGACACCATCATATCTGATATCCTTAACAAAAACGATGCGGAACTCTCTCGCATCCTACGCTCTAACCCTGATTGGCCTCCCAACGAACGAGACCTCGCGTACCCACACGATAAGGCCGCCATATTTGGCCTCCCAGTGTTTAAAACCTTCGTAGAGCATTTTCCGCAAACCAAACATTGGGACTGCAACCATACCGGAAATCTAGTAGGCATCGCTGCATTGTACGGTGATGTGGCGTTGTTGAGGTTTTGTTTGGAGGAGCTGGGGCATGAGGCTGACGAGGGGAGGTGTATGTCTGTCCCAGCATTGGATGCTGTTGAGCATTTGGCAGATACGTTAGTAACGCCTGGACATAAAAAGGAGGTGACAAGGCTACTCGAGTTACATGGTGCGACGCCGAAAGGCACAGTCAAGCGTGGGGCAAAGAAAGGAAAGAAGTTGGGTTTGTTCGAGCAGGCTATGCGGTTGATCAAGCGCAGACAATCTGGAAAATCGAAAGCGCAGGAACCGCTGAACATTACAGAAAGTTGGAAATGCCTCGCCCCGTTGAGAGAGCAGTAGTGCAGCCTCTTTCAGTGTACATGTTTGTCTTCAAGTCGCACGAGTTTGTCCTGGACGCAATCGTTCATGCCCATACCGACCACCTGAGCAGTACCCGTATCAGCCTCTACCGCCCACCTACAAATGACGTGCTCTTTCATGCACTTATACTGCTCCTTTGCAACCTCTCTCGCAGTCTTCGTCTTCATCAGCCTCTAATGCTCGCTGAACCTCGCCTCGATAAGCTTGACGCCGCTGGCGAGGGAACCGTTCCTCCGGACTTGATCCACAGCTCCGTGGACGAACAGGGCGACTCATACCCACAGCCCCAAGATCGTCAAGATGATCTGCGTCCTGTACGATACGCAAGGCAGGATATGCTCCGCGAAGGCCCTGGCATATGCTTCATTGATCATCTCCTTGGTAAACGAGATAGGTATCCTGTCGTCAGATATAAGATTGGCGATCTAGAACACTGAGGAATTGAACCAACGGGTGGTGTTGACTCCGCTTTCTTCACTAGTCTGATATCTTGCGTCGCCGATATCATGCGACATGCCAGTCACGCGGAGCACGACGAGATCAATCTCCCGCGCCCATTGGTGGTGCTTCCACTCCTGCTGGTGGATGTAGGCTGCATTCGACACACGAATGTTGGTAGTTCTGTGGCGCGTCAAGAGTATTTATACCCCTGGCTAGGCTAACACTTCCATCAAATCAGCCATCTCAGCTGTTTCAAACCTCGCATCGGTGGTTTAGTGGTAAAATTAGCCGTTGCCATCCTTCACAGGACAGTTTCGGCTAGCCCCGGGTTCGATTCCCGGCCGATGCATTTTTGCAGTTGCACAGGTCGTCGTGAGTGTCGCGATTGTGGTGGTGTTAAGTGAGGAATTCGGTTTTTTTTGCAAAAAATGCGCGGACGTCACGTGTCGGTGGGGCTCAGTCAGCACCAACCGCCTTCCTCTGTATCGGTCGAGGTGGGCCTCCAAGCGTATGGAATCGAAGAGCACACTTTAGAGATGCGGGATTTGAGGCTCTTTAGTATATACTCAGAAGAAGTAGTGCGTGCGCGACGCATGCTCTCTCCTCAAGTCCAACTAAACTAGAGGTCGTTGTAATGCAGATAGAAACGGAAATGGGGTCTGTGGCCTATGCGTGACTATCTTGGAGGTGAGATTACACATATAATCCACTGCTCTGGTGTGAATCTATGAGCGGACGTGTGGCATCTCCTAAGAAGAGTCAGACTTTCAATGCCAAGTCTAGCCATAATTGACTTGGAGACTTTTTGGAATATAGAAACTCTCAAAGCAACAGGGCTTCAGAAGGATCGTGGATGTTACTATTCAAAGTGTGATGACTGAGTATCCAATCAGGCTTCGTGGCGCAATGGTAGCGCGTCAGATTCCAGTACCACCTGGAGCTTCCTGAAGGTTAGGCGTTCAAATCGCCTCGAGGTCACACCTGATTCAATTCTTTTTGTCTAAAGAGAGCAGCAATTTTTCTGCTGTTTTGTGGATCCGATGCGTTGATGCATTATTGTGATGACCGAGTTGATTCGGGATGGGCACTTTTGATGAGAAGAAGTGAAGCGTTATGTTATGAACGTGGTGTGTATTCGAAGACTACATTGATCGCTTCCAATGCTTGATCTTACAAGATTGTTACGTCAAATATCAGTCTTAGCAAACTATCCGCCTTAGTTGACAGTTTGGTTGTAAGCTTCAATGGGAGAGCCGGCATCCATCTCATACCGTACCGACTCAAGCGTAGAATCGTCCTCTACCTCGCTTCTCCGTTTCGATAAACCCTGCTCCTCTGACTGTCCTATTTCCAGGAGTTGGTTTGGGGGTGCTTCGTGGACATGAGTAGCTGCCGCTTCGTGAAGACCTTGGTCTGGCGCTTCATGCCTGTCTATGCTACGATTGTGACGACCTCTTTCGGGCTCAAGTTGTTCATTCACACTAGTGGGTAGCTGGTGCGCCGCAACATCTCTCTTTTGACGACGGAAGATCAGCCATCCAGCTAAAAGCCCGAGGACAATAGCTATGGGTATCCCTATACCGAGACCAAGCTTCGCTCCCAGCGGGAAGCCGTCATTTATGATCCATTCGGTGGGGCGGCCAGGTCCGTTTGTTTCGTTGGTCGGCAAGTCTGAGCTTGTTGATACTGGAATTCTCGTTGAGGACTGTGTCTTGTGTAATGTCGACACTGTTTCGTGTTGTGTTGAGCTCCATGTCGACTCCAGTGTTGACTCGAATGCTGAGTTTGAGGCTGTCGTCCTTGTTACAGTCGATGCGCCGTTTGACGTTGCTGTAGGAGATATTTCCGAAGACCACGACAAGTCAGAATCGCTCCCTTCACCGGAATCCTCCTCGATGAAGAAGTATTGGCTGGCTGAGCTCTGGGTCCTTCCTTCAGTAATAGCGAGTGAGAATAAGTTCGAATCTGTAAGATTTCTGTCCGTGTCTACGAGCCATTCAAATCCTGTCACACCTGCCAAGTTCACTGATACCAAAAGTCAGCTGGTGTTCCATCTATTATGGAGCTAAGAAATGTATACCCTGCAGCGCTTCTGGATACACTAAGTTATGAAAGTCTTGTTGAACGAGTGATATGGAGACATTCTCCAATGGGTCGCCTCCAGACCATAATATCATCATACTTTGACCTTTCTTGTATGTTCGAAAGTCGCTAATGTTGTCGTCTGCATTGTAAGGTTGTGGACTGACGAATTCCAAACTGGCACTAATCGCACGTGCAAAGACCGTAGTGAGCAAAGCATATGCGGCCGGACGAGCCATGGCAAAACGGGTTGGCCTCAGTATTAGAGAGAATGCACTCAAGCATAATAACAACCGATGAACGATCGGCCAAGGAAAGGAGACATTTGATGAAATCATAAGCCAGAAGCTGGATGAGAAAGTGACGTTGGGTTTGAGTAAATGTACTTGAGTCCTCGTACATGCTAGCCAATCCCACAGTGTAACAGATCAAGAGGCGGTTGTAGCGCATTCCCATGATGTGGTTTATGAAACGGAATTTCTTTGTACTTTTCGTATCGCTGGCTGAAACCTCAGGGTATACCTATTGCGGCCATGAACCCGCAAGTCAACTAGATGGAAAAGATTGAATCCGCCTCACCCAGAGCTCGTACTTCTTCCACTGTCCGAAAATTTGGCTTTTTCTGCTCTCAGAACAGGGGTAAGAATTGCCATAGGGTGCGCGGCCCGTTTTGGGAAATGCGGCTGTGCCACATGAAGTGAGAAGTGATGTGAACGCCTAAGCACCGCTACCGGAGAATCTACAGGGCCAATGCATCCGCAGTAAGCGCAAAATGCATGTATCGCCGTCCCGGACTTGTTGTAGCGCTTAGCTACTACTTTCATGACCATGAAAGGAGCATGTAAAAAAGTCTCCTCCATGTTTATGTACCTCTTGCATACCACTCGACTCCAGGCTGTACTCTTCGTCGCATTGTCCAATCATCGTGATGTTGACCTTGAGCGCCGGTTCATTGCACCGTCACAGCTCCCTGAGGTGGATTCCGTGGGTCATAAGGAAAGGTTATAAATTTCCGCTTCAATCTGATTGTTGGTACAGTCAAGGCGTATCCTTCCTTTTTTCACCCCCTTCCTTGTTCTTCCAAGTGCCGGCGTAATGGTGGGTCACCAGCTGTGGCGGTAGGAGTTGCTCTTCTTCTGGTTTGTAGTTGTTGGCGGACGCTGCGAACGAACGACCTGGCATAACCAGAACATCACCGATCAGCTTCGGTCGCACAAGCTCCATCATATCGCGCGCGTCAATGGTTCTATTAAGCTGGTTGCCCAAGCTTGTGTATACACTGCGCGTCAAGCGTCGTGGACCCGTGAAATCAACGACATCGCCCATAATGTCTAATGTAGCGCTTTCGATTCCGACGTTGTGTTCGGCTGTCTTCTCATGCAATGTCTGAAGGATATCGTCAATGACCTGCATCATGTGCGCTGATCGTGGTGCAGCCATTATAGTCCAGCTAGCGAACTGCCGGACGTATTGGCCCGGCCATCCTTGGTCGAATTCCCACCCCACCACGAGGTTTGCCTTGTCTTTGTATATCTCCGGCACCCATTTGTCGATTTGTACATTTTCTTCGCATGAAACGTCTAGGTCAGACCAAATTCCGCCTTCGTTCCATAGTAATACGTAGCGCAGAAAGTCGGCTTTGTAGATGGGAACGGGTAGTGCGAGGTAACTTTCGACGATGTCTGGGCGCGATTCCGAGAAGGTCTTGCGGACGTAGTCGTCGCCGTCGTCGTCCGTTAAAAAGTGCGCTTTGTATCCGGGATTATTGTTAATACAGCTGGCGGTCCAGTTTCGTGTCTCTTCTGAGAGACCATTGGGGCCCAGCTTGTACCAAATAAGTTTGGGGATGCCACTACTGATGACAGCGGAAGCTCCCGGCGCACGGGCGATGAAGCGGCCTTGTATGGAAAAGAAATGATAGAACAGCGCTATTAAGCAGAGCGCGATTAAAGTATGGTAATTGAAGAACTTAGACAACTGTTTCGGCGGCGACAGCATGGTGGAGGTTTGAATGAGGGACTGGGTGGAGGAAACGGAAAGAGCGCGGAAATCACAATACGTTTACTTGTCTCCTTCAGTCGCGAACGATTAACCCATATAAGACCGATAGCCAAGCGCGCCGCGGGATATCCGGTATCTGCCTTGTGCATTCTCAATTTGCTCCACTGGAAACTCCTTTACTCGTTGATTGCGGCGCCTAATTGATGACCCCCCTGGTAGCGCTAGACTGCTTCTAATCGCAGGCGCGCATTTCACTGTTAGCGCCTGGCCCCTGCATGTGCAAGCACCAGCTATCACACGCAAGAGCCAGGTATCACAGGTATCTGTGGATCGCGTGTGACATTGACACGGCAGCACCCATTCCTACGCAGACAAGTATCAAGCGACCGGGCCTACTTTTGACAACACGTTTACCTGGGGTGTTTATTCAATAAATCCTTGTCTCAGGTAAACGCTTCTGCTCCGCATCGGGAAAAAGGACAGTCTGCGTGCCCAAATTTGGTACCTGTTCTGTCTGTATTAGGCGGAATTGTAGTAGTAATGGGAGTTTTCATGCCCGTCCTTGGAACTGCCCCGAGAAACATCCGCACGGCCACCTATCTTGTAAGGGGAGGGCACATGAGCCGCAACGATATGCAAGGGCGTATCTTCATCTGAGAAGCAGAAGACAGCCCTGGTTGCGGGTTGACAGCATGAGCATGAACTCTGGGTAAGGCTTATTGTACAACCTCGTGTTTCAAGTTGAGCTCAACGCTCACTGTTCAAATCCTTTACACCGATCCTTCAGCCTGGAAAGCGAGATGAGCATTAAAATATCCTTGTATAGTAAGCGCCTCGTGGGGGAAGCGCTGCTGTGCCACTCTCATGCATTTTGCCATGGCACCAAGCAAACGGTGCAAGGAATGAAGTGCCTAGGTATGTGAGCCCACATCAACAGCGACCAACCTCCTCGTAAAGCGGCAGGACCCGTGTTGTCGTCCAGCGTTCATCCATCTCCGCGCGCCGCTTGTCGTTCTGCCTTGCATCTCACTACTGCTTCTGCTGCCGCAATACGACATCGAACCATACCCGTTCAATCTTCGAAGTCGATTCTTTCTTTTGCTATGGCTCGCCTTGAGGCATGTATCCTGGTCACTGGACTGCTTACATGCGTGTCTGGTCTCATGGAGTTTATTAACCCGCCGCCCTTTGGGACTGTTGGCGACATGAGCAATAGCCCCAAGTATACGGTCGGTGATCTAGTCAACGTTGTCTGGACTCCAGGCGAAGAAGGAGGTGCTGTTTCGTTATGTCTTTACCAGCAGAATGAAACAGATGGAATGTGGTTTGGAGACATGGAGTATCTCACCCGTAAGACAAATCACTCCTCTCTCTAGATCTACTCGTATACATGCTAACTTTCGAGATTAGAGAACGCCTTAGACATCACGAAATACAACTGGCTTGTCGGAACGAGGAAGAATCTTACACTGTCAAGATTGTTCTATCTCAGTGTCTTCCAAGAAGGAAAGGGCCCATCGGACTCAAACAGCCACTACTTCTACATCGAGTCGAACCAGGTTGAAGAAGCTACCCCATCATCGTCTTCAGTGAGCTCCTCCACAACAACATCGAGTGAAGCGTCCACTGCAGCAGCGACCACAACACCAACAGGCTCCAAGACACCAAGTGCCGAAACAAGTGCACCGTCAGTGAGCAACCCAGCCAGCATTGGCACGAACGCGCCAGACCTTTCCAACCAGGAGAATCCTTCAGACGGCTTCCCCCTCGGTGCCAAAATCGGACTCGGCGTAGGGATCCCAGTCGCCCTCATTATTGGGCTCGTAGTAGGTTGGCTACTATTCCGCCGACAGAAAAAGCGAAATGCCCGAATTCACGAACTCCCCGCTATCCAGACTGAACAGTACAAATATCATAACAACGGTTACGGTGGTCATTACGGTGCGAACATGTACGAAGCGCCGCCTAAGTCACCAGTAGAGGTGGGGCGGCAGACACCTGCGCAAGGCTTCAACACATGGGAAGGCCCACCCCAGGAAAAACCCGTGGATTCGGCTACACCTGCCATGGTGCGGTACGAGATGTGAGCTGGTCCCTCATCCAACGTACTGTTACTGTCTAGCAGTAGAGCTCTTCTGGGAGGGGACGGGGGAAGGTCCTTGTACTACAACCCTGCGTAATGATACCAAACTATTGAGAACAAGTGGCTGTCGAGATCATTTTGTGGGAGAGTGTGACGGGAAAATGAATAATGCTTCGACAAGTAGAATGTATAATGTTTGCAAATCAGGGAGAAGTAAGGACTGAAGCCATGCTTTCCTTGAACAACAAGATATCCTTTCACTTCTCCAGTCTTTGCATTACCTCTCTCCAGGACATGCTTATATCAGCTGGGATAATGTATCATATGCAATGGCACTCTTCATTACATGACATCGTATCTCGATACAACACCACACGCTCGCCGAGCAGCTTTGCTTCTTGTGAGTGTGCTGAAACTGTCAGTCGATCCAAAACCGAAGACAAAAAGACTTACGGAACGAGCAGCTATCCTGTTGTTCTACCACAGCTTTACTAGGTAGTCTGCTTCTGACCGGTAACGTCGAGCGACTGGATGTTCGCAACATGCGGTGCGTGGAAGAACCACTTCTAGGGGGATCCGGTGTTCGGGCTCCTTCTGGATGCCTGACGTTCACTCCAGTCTCGCGATTTTCTGGAATTGTCTTGGTCCAAACTATCGCCACACAGCGACTACACGGGCGGACTTGGGTACTGCGCTGCTGCATCGCTCGACTCTAAACCCTTCCTATGATAAGACTCCGCCTGAGACCCCGACGACGAAGCAAAATAAGGATTATCAGGCATGAACATGCGCTTCCTCGGTACCACACTTGCCAAACTCGGCAACGCATACTGCAATCTAGTCCCGTCGTCCACTCTCGGACTCGACTGAATAAGTAAATCTGCCTCTTTAATTCTCTTCAACACATCTTCAACTTCACCCCCCATTTTAACCCTCCGCATCAACCCCTGACTCTCATTATCCGAACTCGTCTTAATCAACTCGAAGAGCTCGGTGTATGCCTCGTTTTCGGCCTGCAATAATTTGAACTTGCGCTTTATGGCCTGGTTCTGTGTTTCCGTTGACTGCGTGGCGTAGTGGCAGGAGGTGGAGCGCTTTGTACATTCTAGGCATGTAGGTCTTTCGCCGTTACATTTTATCTTCCGTGTGCGGCATTGGTCGCATGCGGAGGGGACGCGGTCACGGGGTTGGGGAGGGAGCGGCTCGTTGTGCGGACGAGTGGCAGCAGGACGGAGTGGTCTGAGGGGACGAGCCATGCCCGTTGTCATCTCTTGCAGGGGAAAAAAAAGGAAGAAGAAGAGACAGGGGTTCCAAAGATTGTTTGTTACACAAAAGACCGCGAAGAATGAGAATTTATGGGTATGGGTATCTAACTTTCTTTTCTTTTTGAGGATCCAAAAAGTACTCAGGTGCCCATCGATCTTTTAAGATGGGGTTCTGAAATATCGATGCTGTTATAACCGGCGCTAAAAGATCTCGATGTTCATTGGGATGCGGTAAATCCGCCCGCGAATTTAGTCACCCTACCACGAATGGCTTGACACCATTGGCGGGTTCTGGCCCGCGTATCAGAGGCCCACACGCAGTTTGTCTTTTGCGCCGCGCATCCTCTTGAGCGCTGTGTCTTGGTGAAACACAGCACGAAGACTTGCTCGTTGCGTGTCGTCATCTTTCATCCTGGTTTCTGGTTTTGTTTGCGCGTGGTGGCCTCCGTTTGCAGCGTCCGTAATACCCGCAATGGGAGACGGCACCAGTTGGGATTTGTTGCCGACGAGTGGGATGGTAATTCCACACAACGAACTGACTCCGATGGGGTATCGTGTGCCGGATCGCCGTCGCATATTTTGCTATAGTAACGGTCCGACTGCTGTTTCTTAAGCATGACGTTGACTTGACTGCGGTTAGCTGCATAGAAGTCTTGGCGGCTGAGTTTACATGTGCAGAATATACATGTTTCCACGGCGTTGACAAGAAGAAACCGATGCGCTATCCTGGATTCAGTATCTACGATTACTAAACATAGGCTAGCGCGCTGGTTCTTCTTTGTCAACGCCGTGTTTCCACTATGAAACGGCCCTTTGCCGTCTCCGCGGATCCTCAGACGTATCTCGTCTGTTTGCATGAACGTGGCTCTTTCGTACTACCTGCTCCGGATATTCCAGCTTCCAAAGTTTGGATGGCGTGTGCGTTAGTGGCATTATTGGGGTGTGTCGGACAGGTTACTTGACGGAGATGTGCTACTGATGAGGAGATTGGCTGCATTTGCATAGCCATCCACATACAGCTCAATTCGTTATAGTGGAAAACTATAGGGTGTAGATGGAGTGTGCGATGAACGGTAGGACGGTCTGGCAACAGAAGCACATGCGTACACACGCTCTAGATGGGAGTTGGTAAGTTTACAGATGCATGGTGAGCAGCACTCATTGGCTGGGATTTTGTTCCGTGAACCCTCATTTACATGTCCCTGATACAACCCACCACCATCATCATTGTCTATTGATGCCGCGGCATTGTCTATTGATACCGCGGCACTGTCTATCGATATCGCGGGCTCTCGTTACGTGACATAATCGATAGATACGAGGTTGTGAGTTGCATCTACAAAGGATGGACCGCTACATCTCGACAACAGCCGCACAGCGAGCCTATTGCGCAGCCAATTGCAAAGCAAGGTCATCTCGCCGTTACATTGGATTCCACTTGTGGCTTACATATGGACCGAACAAGACCTTATTCGGCCCGTGTATTTAGACATGCTTATCGGTGAAGAAGGCCGTCCAGTCGTAGTATACCCAGTGCCTCTAGAGTGACCGATAATTGCATCTAGATATGACTCATAGAGTATACTGAGAAACCTTGGGAAACGACTATCCTACATCTTTTCGATTGATGTCGTCATGATTCAGAAAGTTGGCTGTTGAATATCTCTTTGCTGCAAGTCATGCATTCGGTACTCGAGCCCGAATCTTCTTGACCACCGATGCTCTGTCCTTTGTACAAGACCCTGGGACCCTTTGTAGTATTACCGCGAACCCTTGTTCTCACGGCCGTGTACAGTCTTTGCGTATAGATGTGGTGCCAAAAGGAACACTCTGACATCTCTACACACTACCCAGATATGTAAAGTAGTTTATCACGAATTTGGCGCCCAACCACTTTCTACCGGAGTCCATCCCGAAGGTGCGCATGACCAAGATCGAGAAGAGAGCCGAAAACGAAAACGACGTTGTCCCTCGTTCGATTAATGATGCTGGGCCCCCCACACACATACATACTGCAATAAGACCTGGTGCTGTGCTTTTTCGAGACCATGTCGAACTTCCCGAGAAAACGCAGTAGTATCCACGAAAGTATCGACGCGATTCCTTCAAAACGACTATTGAAGATCCTATCCAGATACTCGCCGTGTCTCGACCAAGAACAAACACAGACCCCGTTCCATCTTATACACATTCTGCCCTACATGCCTAGCATCGCATCCCCACTCACTCCACCTTGAAAGCCAACCTTGTCTCTTCTTCCCACTGCTTGGCAAATCCTTCTAGCACTGCATGTCTCTCCCGCGCCATCTCTCTCCCCTTTCCCGTCTTCATCATCCTCACCAACTTGAACAATTTCTCCTCAAAATGGGTCACCGCCCTCTCCATAGGCTGATCCGGCATCTTGGCCGCTCCAAACGAAAAACATCGGCCTATGCCCACTGCGCCGATAGCATCGATTCGATCTGCATCCTGTACGATGCCCAGCTCAGGATGTAACAGAAGCATCTCCTTGACGGCATCAGGATTGCGGACTTCATGCGTGTACGAGACGTGCTTTACAATCGTCTGAACCTTGTCGGCTAGCTTGGGGTTTGCGCCGTGGGCTAGGAGGGTGTCTCTGATCTGGTTCTCGACATCTTCGCCTGGCTTTGCGTATTTGTGGTCGCCAACATCGTGCAGAAGAGCGGCTAGGTAGAGGGCTGTTGTGTCATATTCGACTGAAGGGTTGCTAACGCGTTCATACGTTTGAATATAATAGGCGTTGGAAAGGACGCGCAGGATGTGGTTGTAGTCGTGGGAGTTGTCGTACTTTGACATGTAGTTGTGGACGAAGGCGTTGATCGAGGCGAAGAGTGATTGATCGTTTTCTCCAAGGGGAAGTTGGGGCACAGGAACACGGTCTGATGTCTTGCCCTCCATGCTGCAAGCTCTTCTAAACACGTATTGGGGAGATTGATGTTGTGACAATTCAAGGAGGAGTATTTGTATCCATGAGAAAAGCTTGTAGGTGGACGTGTAACGCGTTTTTCTGCGTACGCGGAGTCACATGTTCAACGCCCTTCCTTTTAGGACCAGGCAGCGCCCTTTTGCACGCCATCCGGGGCTATAGACACGTCTCGCAACAGCGGCATGCTCGACAGTGTAATCTGCATGGTATGACAGTATCGGGGAACCATGGGGTGCGCGTGCTCGTTGAGAGTGGAGAGGAACATCCGGGGTAGCTGAGCCGCACCTGCCTCGGTACTCAGTAGCGCACGCGATAATGGATCCATGACTTCACCCTCGCCCATCACTCCTATCTACACGTGCATACCTCGGCATCGACCACATCGACGTCGCGCAATCGCTCCATCTCGGCGCGTTTTGCTGAGTGCGACTGCAAGACATGTACAAGCAAGCGACGCAGAAGACGGGCGAGGTGCTGTTCATGCCGTCGCAATGGCTGGGCATGTACTCGGACTTCATCACCAAGAACAGCAGCGCCGTGACGCAGATAGAGTCTGCGCTGCGGTCACTGACATACATCATCCCCGGTAGAGTATTTCGACGTGTACACGCATGCATCTTGCTGATTATGCATAGGCCGCTTCCGAGAGTCTGAAGTCGCATCCGAATCTAGTAGGTTGCGCCCGGCCGTCACGCACCCGTCACGACTAACAGAGCCACAGTACACAGCGGCGTTCAAGTGCTCTCCCTATACCATGATTCGCTCCTTTCAAAAGCCATGGCACAGATGCCCGGAACGCGACGGCAGCCCCTCACCCCACATCATCGCTATACCAAGTTCTGGACGCAGAACTCGCCCACATACAAGCGCATCGCGCTGGTGCTCCAGATGATCCAATATACAGAGCTGCTATGGGAGATGGCGGCGAAGCGCAAGGGCGAGAAGGTGCGATGGCGCGTCGTGGTGTTGTTGGAGATTGTCAAAGCAGTATGCAGGTTGCTGCTGCTTCGGTTGACCAACTCGCGCCCACTCCTGTCGCCGCCACTCCCACAACGAGAGATTGACCCAAGCTCACTCGAGGAGTCGTCGGCATCGGCAGACGGCATGGACACACCACCGAGCGAGCGTTCGGTCGAGGCAGAGAACTGGGCTATGCCTAGGACTGGCCTGTCCATGCCGAGCCTACCAGACTCGTCGGATATCTCCAGCTACCTTCTCTCCAAGGTACTGACTGCAGACGACATCAAGCCCCCAAAGGCACTGCTCCATCGAGTCAGCGGGAAGGGCGAGCTGGCCGAAGCACTGTACATTCTCCGTCCGGTTGTCTACGCGCTGGCGATGCAACACTTCAGCGGCGACAGAAAGAGCTGGAGGCCGTGGTTGATCGGCGTCAGCATGGAGTACGGCGCCAGGCAACTCGCCAAGAAAGACTTCCAGGAGCGACTAGCCGGAGGTCTGAGGGGCTTGACTGGACTGGAGAAGGAAGAGTTGCGCAAGCGGGGCTGGTCCCTGGGGTGGTGGGCAATGCGCGGCGCTTTCTACGAGAACATCACCAAGTAAGTCTGGTGCCTATCTGCTTTGATTGGCGACTAACAACGGACAGGGCTTGGATCCACAGCATCACTGGAAAGTTGAAGGGCAAGCCTCTGCTCGATATGGTTGGCGGTGTTATTGAGGACTATGAGTTCCTGTGGGATCAGTACTACTTCCCGACCGCCACGCTATGATACTATCTGGACTGATCGGGGGAGGGGACCTGGGTTCTGTCATTTCCATTGAGCATTTTGTGTACATTATCCTTTCTTCAGATACCAAATATTCGACTTCTTTGCCTGACCGCTGAACAATCGGGAGTCTATGCATGCCGCCCACTGACGCACTGAATGGCTAGCGTGGAGCTCTGACCCGCTATCACCATGGCAGTCCCGAAGCTTTTGGACACGGCAGAGCCGCATCAAACAACCACAACCACGGCCCTTCCCCAACAAACTCGACCAACGTCGCCGTCACCCTCACCCTCTCAGCACCTCTTTTCCGGCGATACTGAGTCCACGTCACCAAGATGCCCGCCACAACAGCCGAGACGCTGTCGCTCGTGACCCGCAACGTCTCCGTCGCGCCTCTCGTCCTCCTCTCCGCAGCAGACCACTACGGCCGCCAAGCAAAAGGAACAAAGAGGAGAGTAGTCGGTGTTCTTCTCGGACAGAACGACGGCAAGAACGTGCGAGTATCCAACAGCTTTGCGGGTGCGTAGCTCCTCGGCCCCTCCACTGTCCAGTTTGCCGCCTGACTGACACACGCACAGTACCATTCGAGGAAGACGAAAAGGACCCGTCGGTATGGTTTCTGGATCACAACTATGTCGAGTCGATGAACGACATGTTCAAGAAGGTCAACGCGCGGGAGAAGCTCATCGGCTGGTATCACACAGGGCCTAAGCTGCGGGCGTCGGATCTAGAGGTCAACGAGCTGTTCAAGCGGTACACGCCGAACCCGCTGCTCGTCATCATCGATGTACAGCCAAAGGAGGTCGGTGTCCCGACAGATGCCTACTTTGCGGTCGAGGAGATCAAGGATGTAAGTCGACATTGCACCGTCTACCATGTTGCTTCTCAGGGCGAATGCTAACAAGGTTACCCAGGACGGCACAACCACCTCCAAGACCTTTGTCCACACGCCCTCAATAATCGAAGCCGAAGAGGCCGAGGAGATTGGAGTCGAACATCTCCTCCGCGATATCCGCGACGTCGCCGTCGGTACCCTCTCCACACGTATAACCTCACAACTCCAGTCCCTCCAAGGCCTCCACCTACGGTTACGAGACATTGGCCAATACCTCCAAAAGGTCCTCGACGAAGACCTCCCCGTCAACCACGCCATCCTCGGCAACCTCCAAGACGTCTTCAACTTACTCCCCAACCTCTCTACACCCAAGCCAACGCCCGTTGGTGGTACGGCGGCGGCAACAAACGGTGCCGATGGCGGTGACAACGGCGAGCTTGCCCGCGCGATGAGTGTCAAGACAAATGACCAGCTCATGACGATTTACCTGTCTAGTTTGATTAGGGCGATTACTGCGTTCCATGATTTGATTGAGAATAAGATACAGAACAAGCAGCAGGCAGAGGACAAGGAGAAGAGTAAGGACGAGGGCAAAGAGGGGGAGAAGAAGGAGGGCGGCGACAAGACGACAAATGGCGAGGTCAAGGAGGGGGACAAGAGTAAAGAGAAGAAGGAGGAGCCGAAGAAATAAAGCGAGCTAGGTGGATGATGATGATGACGCGGGAGAGAGCTGTAGGGGGCACGAGGATGTTTTGTGCCCCATGATGCCATTTGGGCGCATAGGCACATGTGTATTATATACAGAAACCCCCCCAGACTCTCGGAGCTGCCACACGTTAGAATACCCATGGTTTGAAGCAGACTTGTTTCTGCTGGACCTGGGCCCCTCCCCAAATGTTATGTTACGACATGACAGCATGATTGGAAATGATATGACTCAAGAAGCATGATATAAGCTCCATCTATGTCTTGGTTTTTCTTTCTCTTGCCGTTTATTCCAAGCTGTTGATGTAACCTGGTTGTTCGGGAGTTATCATGTTATGAACGGCATGTCCCGTCTTCTTTTTGCCCTTGTGCTGTAAAGCAAGATACCGAGAGTATTAACAGTCTGTGTGTGTGCGTATGTGTGTGACACTCGCTCAGATGGCAGCTATAAACCATGGTTTATACTGTTTCCAAGCCAGAATACCAATCAATCAATCAATCACCCCACCCAGCAGCCCATCCCGCCGCCTCCTCGACACCAACCTCCCTGTCCTCTACAAACCCCCCAAATAACCCCTTGCATCTTTCCACAAACACGCATGCGAGGAGGTGTTTACACACGGGCGGCGGTTGCGTCGTTTCTTTCCCGACGAGACTGATACCTCCGAATATCCACTTGTTGTCCGCATTGTTGTTGTTGCTATCCTTGTTATTGTTTACCTCCTGCTGTATTGTTGAATTGTTGTTGTTGTGTAATGGGGTGTGGACTGTTGCTTCTTCGTTCCCAACATGCCTCGTCGTGACAGGAGTAGGTGGGAAAGCGGAAAAGGCAAATGCGGGACAAGAGCAGTTCCAGGCGCGGAGGCGGACTTGGTAGTATGTTGTTGTGTCGTAGGATGTGGCGAAGCGTGAGGAGCGTTGTTGTTGTGCGGAGCGGACGTAGTATATCGTGTCGTTGTTGTTCAAGTGATTTGTCTTGTCTTTGTCCGTCGGGTCTGCTTCTTTGGTGGGGGTTGGAGTTGTGCGTGTATGGGAGTTTTCTTGCTGCTGCTGCTGCTGCTGCTGTTGTTGTTGTGTTGGTGCTTCCGACTCTACTGTTGTGTCTTGCATCATCTGCACATCTTGCTGTTGGCCTCCCGCATCAATAACCGTCTTCAGCTCGGCCACTTGCTCCTCATTGCGGATATGGAAACGCGTTACAAGACGCCGATCTAACAAATCCAACGCTGGTACAAATTCAGTCGGGAAAACTACTTGGAAGCTCAACAGCTGTTTCCTCGTCGTGTCGGATAAGTTGTTTAGCGGGTTGGTGTTGGTTTTGGCATTATCGTTGGTAGCATCGGCGGCTTGGTCACTTGGTAGTGTTGATAGTGAGTCGAAGAGTTGGGTTATGAAAGTACGGCTTGTGGGTAAGGCTGGCGATGGTGAGGCCATTGTGTGTACATGGCTGTGTGTTCATGGTGTTTCGTGGTGCATGACGTATGTGGGGCAGTCGCGACGGGAGCGCGGGAAGGCGCGACGCTTGGAGCACGAAGACACGTGAAATGAACAACACAATAAGTTCGAGTCCCGTGATGCCATGGCTGCCTATTTGTAGGTAGTAGTGATCTTGTGCAGGCTGTGCATCACTTTCCTACCCCATCGACACCAACAACATGATCAGACACCGACGATGTGGCCCAGTCATTTCCAGGCTCGCGATAATGCTTTAGCCGTTCGAGAAGCTGTCTTCACCTCAAGCGCCACTGACTCGAATCATCGCCCTGTCGCGTGACAGGCAAGAGTTGGAGACTGGTATCGGTGAACCGATGTTTAAACTTTCTTGGTATGCACCGATTCTTACGCCCCGCGGAGCCTCTTGTGCCTCTCGAACGTTTTCTCAGCTGAGATGAAAGTCACTTGTCCACTTCACTGGACCGAACCATGCTGCCATAAAACAGCCTGGTCGAGACACTGACTTGTTCCATGGATGCGAAACGCCACGCAGCAAGCTTCTCGGCTTCTCGCTTGCTTAAAGATGTTCGCTATTGCTCGACTTACGCCTCAAAAAGTTGGAACCAATGGGTTTACTATATCCTCACGTGCGGCTGAAGATATAAAGACAGCCATGACTAAAAGCAATTCTCAGCCTTGTAGACCACCGCTCTGGTCTAAGGTTCTTTCGAAGATATAATTCTAGCCTCGTCACGGCTTTCGAACACAAAGTTTCGGCAAACATGGCGGACAACAGTAGTTGTCACTATGACTGCTCGCAACCTCTCGATCAACTATCTCCATATTCTGATATCTCTGGACTTGGTGTTAGTCTTTGCGAGAGCAGAAGCTCAGAACTTTCGTGCTGACGACCCCCAGGTCCTGGTTGGATATACAGCTACCGCCGGAATAGTCGTGATCATCCTAGTCTGCCATTACCACATTGCACATGACCCGACAAAAGACCCATTCGACAAAAACAGCACTCCAGGCGCGGCTACAGCTCGTAACCCGCGACCGAATCCAATAGACGTTGTATATCTTGGTCTTGTTTCTAAGATCTTAGCAGCATGGCGAAGATTACACCCAAATCTACCGAAAGCGAAGGCATACCCTCGCTTAGAAGTCGTATTCATCGAAGTTAGTAAACTATCTCCTTCCACTTCATATTCGCGCTAAAAGAACGCAGTGTGTTCAATCAATGAGCGATCTCCAGATTCTTACCGGAACGTCCATTCTAATTAGTGGCTACGTGCAACTACACTGTGGTCTTTCGGCCTTCCACTGGCAGATTATCGTCTACCTGGCTTGGTTCTCGAGCATAACTCACCTCTCTTGCCTTACTTTCCTCCGCAACCATTTGTACAATCGGCCTGCGGAACGAAACTGGAGGTTAGTTGCCATGGGTCTAATGTTGATAATGCTGCTCGTCGCTATGATACCAACGGGCGGTTACAACTGGACGGAGGGTTACTACGGTAGCGATGCCCCCATAGTTCCTGCGCCTAGCGACTATGCGATTTGCTACTGGCAGCCCACTGGGAACGATGACCAGTTGAATTTCTCGACAATGGTGATATCCGTTCTTCTCTTAGCTCTAGGGTTCATGCAACGAGTTGTTCGGTTGCACAGATCCCTCTCTGTTTCCGTCCTAGGTGTTTTTAGGACATTTTGTAGCGAAAGGGCTCGCAATTTCCTTCGTCGAACTTATACAACTATGGGCATGGAGACATCAGGCTTGACACTAAAACGGCTGTTCCTTTGGAGACCACTTCTGGCACTGTTTCTCACTGCTAGAGCTTTGTTAGATCTATGGAACTCCATGTTCATCGAGGTATGGAGCGTCTAACCCAGTAGTATTGGTACTGATCTTACAGACAGATCCTCTGGATGATAGGAAGCTTTATTTGGGGTCTCATCAGATTACTGCAAGCTCTTCCGATAGAAGACCGCGGTTCTAACGATTGGTCTTTCGGTCAGGTCATCCCTCTTGTCCTCCTCGCAGCTCCCTTGCTTACCATCTTTGAGTCTTTCTTCAAAGGTACATTTTTTCCCTCCTCGGAGGAAAGACATGATGTTGACTGTCCTAGCAGAGCAACCCACCAACACGCTTTCGACAGCGCTCGTGCAGTTTCATAACGCCTTCTCGCAGGCCGCTCATAATAACGCCATGTCAATTACGCCGCTGCAGGCACGCGATCATCCTGATCAAAATTTCTACCGGGACTCTAGGTGGACTAACACATTGATCTACCTTATGGTTGCTTCTGCTACTGGCATTATGGGAGAGGCTCTAGCACTTACTGGTTTGGCCAACACGAAGTTGATCCTACTCTTGATTCCCACCCCGGTTTTCCCTTCATACCTCCCTTTCTACATAGCTTTTGCTGTCTGGGAGTTCATCACATTTTCCCTACTGCTCGAGGACATCAGCTATGCGAAGTGGACGGTACCTACGCATTGGAACTTACCTGCGCACTGGAACGCACCAAGAATTTCTACAAAGAGGTTTTTCAAAGGTTTAATCGATTATTGTGGTCTCGTTTTCATTTTTCTTACTCTGACTGGTGCATTGCTAAGTATTTTAGATGATAGTCAGATTCCTGCTTACTATGTTTGCGCAGGCGTGGGCATATACGGCGCAACCTCAATCATGTTTTCTCGTATAGCGGTCCGACACGTAAATCTATTCTCTTAGTTTATTATAAACAGTATTATAGTCAAATCATAGAGACATTGCATTCCTTATTCACTAGACCGATATCGTCGCTTCGATTATGCTTTCAGAGCCATATGATATAGACCCGTTCTGTTTATCACCTCTAACTCTATGTGCAGGCCGCATGCAGGCAGTGTTAGAAGGCACTCCTATCTACCGTTCTTCCGTTTACACATGTTATCAGTATAGTCTTATATTGAGCATTTTGTATGTCCTCGTTTTCTTCTGTTCTAAGATTTTACCGTGTTTTTCGAGACGTGACGAGTCTGCAAGGACAAAGGTATATCTATGCCGGAGAGCATTCACAAGAATAAGTCACACTGGGCGTAGACTGTCATTGTCTTTCACACTACTTACGTGAGTATCTAGGGTGAAAATAGCGACTTCTGAGCAGCTTTCATATATGCTTTGTCTGCCGGACATGCAACGTCAAGATTGTACACTTCACGCCTCCGATAAAGCAGCACCATGTAGGTCTTTGGTAGGCTACATTTTGAGTTGGGACCAAGAAAGGAAGCCAATTTGACAAGGTATCGCAAGGCTACTACCGTATGGAATATCTTCAAGAAGATATAGAAAATACTGAATGACAATGCGCAAAGTCTCGAAGTCAACTCGCCTATCTGCAAGCATATGACCACTTCTTCTACTAGCCGCTAGACCGCTTGTTCGTAAAAGTCTGGTAATTGCGTACTAAAAATCTACACGAAAGTATGATCGATGCAGAGAGGAGATACTGAGTGAAAAGAGTGATGCTGCATATGGGAATTGTACATCGGAAACGAGATGCAAACGATGCTAATGAGGGACGTGGTTGGTGAATGAATTTTAGCAACCCACTATCTCAAAGGATCGGTATGTAACTTTCTTTTTCAGTATACGTTGATACCCGGTGGGTGAAATTGTCGACCAGAAAAATCATAAGATGTATTCGGCCTCGTATCAAGTTCATCGGCTTCGCTGGACCATGACCACCAGACATGACGCAATGTGACTGCGGTGGGAAGATGAGATATCGCCGCGTCGACAACTGGAATTGAAGTCTTGTCTTGGTAGCCGTTCGCTGGCGAAACGACTTTGAGCCAGCCCGACATGTTCGGGTAACTTGTAGTGGCGGTCAGCCTGACGGTTGTTATCGGAGGGGCACTGAGGTGTGTCAAACAGCGACAACCGACACGCGACGTGCGATGTTACACAGCTTCACGAAGCGATCCGAACAAGACTGCAACACCAACGTCACGTATCCAGCTCTCGACAGCACTAGAAGCCATCGAGGCTTCGCGAACTACGGCACGTCTTCCAATAGCGGGCAGGGCGATGGAAAATTCGCCGCTCTGGAGTCCGGGCCCCACGCTCGTTGAAGCCCTCGCCGCTAGTTGTTGGCCCGAGCCAGGTTCCGTCCCCGAGATTACCCGACCTAAAAATGGCGGACCCTGACAATGGTGGCTCGCAGAAAGGAGAGGCGTGGGAGACTTGGGCTGGAAGAGGCATGTGAACACTTGTACATCCCCACAGTGGATTTTCCATGTTGAATTGACGGCTGCGGGCTGCCAGTAGACGCGGTTCCGTCAAAGACTATTCATTTTGTGGCTGCTACGGCAACGCTTGTGGGTGTCCGTTGGGAAACATGAGAGAGGTAGATACATTGTTGTTATTGTCAGGTAGTTCTACCGGCAGCGATCAGAACATATTCAGAATCAAGTGAATCATAAAACTCATCACAAGGACCTTATCGTATTCACTTTCTCCCACACTCCGCGTTTCCGAGGTGTTGATGAGGGAGCGCTCGGGATAGCGGGCAAGGGAGCTAGCACGTGATGGGTCTAGTGCGACTTAGCGCAGCTGGCAGAATTTGTCGCAGCTTCGCTACAAATACACCTTTCCTCCCTCAACGCAGCACCAGCATCTGCAACTTCACCTTTTTCAACCAATCTCCCCTCTACACGTCTTCAAGATGTCGGGAAAGCAGCAAGACAAGAGCATCATGGGGATGCCCGTACGTAACCCGCCCTCGGACTCGGCCAGCTGTTCAGTTCGACAACCGTGGAGCCAGCAATAGTTGCAGATCTATCTCAATTGCATCAATGGGGGTTTCTCCAGCGAATTGGCAATGTCATGAGATGGACTCAACTTTGCTGGCTCTGCGCGCGTTGGCTGGGTTGTGTGGTTGGAGTGCGTCAATTACTTGGAACTTGGGCTAACGATCAAATCAGGGCTTCGTGGTCGACTTCCTGAGTACGTTCCATCACCATCGACAACTCCATCAGCACGAGTGCCATTGGCATTCGGGCATGATGCGAGCAACATCGGCAATTTTCTGCGTCCGTGACAGATACTAACAGCTTACCAGTGGGTGGTGTTTCCGCCGCCGTCTCGAAGACCGCCGCCGCTCCCATCGAGCGTGTTAAGCTCCTCATCCAGAACCAGGTAAGTTCCTCCAACAGGACCCCGCACATTAACAATCTCTAATCCACCCCGCAGGATGAGATGCTTAAGTCCGGTCGTCTCGACCGCAAGTACGACGGCATTGGCGAGTGCTTCAGCCGTACCGCTAAGAACGAGGGTGTCCTCTCCCTCTGGCGTGGTAACACCGCCAACGTCATCCGTTACTTCCCCACCCAGGCGCTCAACTTCGCTTTCCGCGACACCTACAAGTCCATGTTCGCCTACAAGAAGGAGCGTGACGGTTACGCCAAGTGGATGGCCGGTAACTTGGCCTCCGGTGGTGTAAGTATACTCGCTCAATGCTTGTCAGCACACAATCTAACAACAACAGGCTGCCGGTGCCACTTCCCTCCTCTTCGTCTACTCCCTCGACTACGCCCGTACCCGTCTTGCCAACGACGCCAAGTCCGCCAAGAAGGGTGGTGAGCGCCAGTTCAACGGTCTCGTAGACGTCTACAAGAAGACCCTCGCTTCCGACGGTATCGGTGGTCTCTACCGTGGTTTCATGCCCTCCGTTGCTGGTATCGTTGTCTACCGTGGTCTGTACTTCGGTATGTACGACTCGATCAAGCCTGTCCTCCTTACCGGTTCCCTCGAGGGTAACTTCTTGGCCTCTTTCGCTCTTGGTTGGGCCGTCACCACTGGTGCCGGTATCGCCTCTTACCCCCTTGACACCATCCGTCGCCGCATGATGATGACCTCCGGTGAGGCCGTCAAGTACAAGGGTACCATGGATGCCGCCCGCCAGATCGTCGCCGCTGAGGGTGTCAAGTCTCTCTTCAAGGGTGCTGGTGCCAACATTCTCCGTGGTGTTGCCGGTGCCGGTGTCCTGTCCATCTACGACCAGGCCCAGCTCATCCTCTTCGGCAAGAAGTTCAAGGGTGGATCTGGTTAAGCGCCTTTCTTCCCTCTTCGATACCCCCAACCTGCGTTTATGTGGTGGAAGCAGCTAATCGCGACGTGAGAGATGGGGATGGGGTGTACGTGTATGAGAACGACAAGAAGCCCTGCGGGCGGAAGGTTGTTCTTGGTAACGAAAAGCACGATCCCGGAGTGGTAAAACACTCTTGTACTTTATACATTCACACGTCATATCCGGCTTGCAATGCTTTTGTCTCTTGCCTGTACTTCCTCTTTTCATCGCTTGGTGCAATGGGGAAAATAGTGGTCTATAGAAAGTCATGGGTTTCTTTGTACGCAAAACCTATCTCCACTATTGAGTGACGATGTTCAATACGAGTTGTGATATAGGAACAGAGCCGCACTGCTCCATCTGCTGCCCCCCATCTACCCAAGCACACGCTCAGAATCCCCCGCCATTCTTCCCCTTGACCGCCCTCCAGACACTCTCCTCGCCCTTCTTCAGCGCCTCACCCGCTTTATTCAACATACTCCACGCCTGCGCCCCGACACCCTCACCCTCACCATCCCCTCCGGCTCCACTCGGGCCACCGATGCCTCCTCCAGCCGTGTACGGTGCATTATCCGGCGCCTGAACATAACCCGGTGGGTGTTCCAAGCTCGTCCTTGTAGGTTGCGCTTGCGCCGTATCAGCAGTCTGGAACGGGCTCGCCGCCGGACCGTAGTTGAGGACCGTTGGGCCCGGTTTACCAGCCGCCGCCGATGCCGAAGGAGTCGTGGAGGTTGTAGTTGAGCGACCGGCTAGCATGGAATCTGAAGGAGGGGGATGACTGAATTGTGGTGGTGGTGCTTGTCGCGTCTCCGTTGTGATGACTGTTGCCGTTGGCATGGCAGTCGCACCGGGTTGGGGCGCTGCTGGTGTGCTGCCGTCGCGGTAGTTCTCGCTCATTCCTGCTCCTCGTCCTCCTGTGCCTGTTGGTGCGGCGGGGCGGGCGCCAGGCTGGGGAGCAGGCGGCTGAGAAGAGACATGTTGTGTTGTTGTTGCTGGGGCGTAGGCGGGTGTTGTGCGTGTGGGTGGTGGGTTGTTGTGAGAGGTGTCGTTGGACGAGGCTGTCGAAGGGGTTATACCGTCTGCTTTGGCGGCGGTCGTTGAGGTGGGTGCGATTGGAGCGTTTTTGTGGATGGGGATCGGGGGCATGTTTGGGTTGGCTTTGTAGATTTGCTTGTGGGGGGGGTTGATGTCGGCTTTTGTCCTCCCAAGTAGAAAGGTACGCTGTGTGTTAGGATGGGTGAGTATGACGGCGTAGTAATTGGTGGTGACGAGACGATGACTTGCGAGGGAGTTTGTTGAGTAGCTAGTTTAGACTTGTGAACACGTTGTGGGAGTTGTTTGTTGCTGCCTTGTGCTATGTTCTGCTATCCTCTCTCTGGCGTGCTCTTTGGTTCAGCTGTTGGAGGTGGTTACTGCTTTAGGCGATGATGTCACTCTGGCACGTGAAACCTTATTAGGTTCTTCCAACCATTAAACCTTCTTTAGACGTCTGCAGCCAGGCTTCCAATATCACTCAACACCGTCTTCTTCAATGTGATACACTTGGGGCCGATCTGACCGGTCGAGCTATGGGTTCTTCGCGCTTGTCTTACACTATGATTTTGGCATGTGTACAACCTGA